GGCGGAGCTGCGGTACGGAGGCTCGGCCTGGTTGCTGCCGGGGCAGCGATGCTCGGGATGGAGCCCCGCAGCCGGTTTGGGTCGCGTTAATCTCTAGTAAAATATTTAACCTTCCTGTCCTCTCAGTGACGTTTTTGGATTATTACAGTTTTTTATTCTCGTCTCGTTCTTTAGGATACTTCTGCTGATCCGTCGCAACAGGAGGCAAAGCAGAGGTACCGATGGCAACTGCTGACTGTCACCAGAGTCTCGTCTCATCGTCTTCAACCCTCCTTTCTTTTTAATATTAAGTTTCTCAGCTGAGCTTCAGGTGTTGGAAGAAACCATCAGCAAAGACACTGAAACGTGAAAGATTTAAGTACAAGGGGAAAAAAAACAACAACCAAAGCAATTCTGTACTTTCCAAAGTAGAAAATGGAAAAAAATAAGTAGAGACTTTTGAAGGAAGTTGGGGTGAGAGCTTAGGGCTTGTATTAACTGAAACACACTAACCAAAACTCCCAGGATACGAAGACTTACTGAAAACTGCTAAATACATAATGAAGTGTAGTTGTGTCCTGCAGGTGTATGGACTTGGTGCCTGATCAAACACACACTGCTTTTGGAACTAAATGGAACTGATCACAGAATCGTGACAGCAGCTAGCGTGGTTTGGTTTTTCTGGCAAGATGTAATGAATAAATAAATGTAGTAAGGTCTCCTTACATCTCCTTACTACTCTAGATGTTGTCACCTAATGTAGTACTTTACTGCTGGTGTGTACAGCTGCCCAAGGCAGAAATGCGACAGAAGAAATCATACAGAAGTGTAGGGTTCTTTTCAGTTATACAAATGGAAGCTCTTCTGTAAACTTTCTTGCTTTTATGCACATTGTTTCAGGTGTTTGAAATCTCCCTTTTAATGTATCTAATCTCCATTACAGGGAAGCGGAAATAAGAAATACAATTTTAGCTCAAGTTCTTGATCAAGCAGCTCGTGCCAGATGTAAGTATCCAAGAAGCTTTTAAATCAAGAATTCTCACCTCTCACATCGAGAACATACATGCCTGTATAGAGGCCACACTGAAAAAAATTGTTGAGGGAAAAACTAGTTCAGCTTTTCAACTGGTGATATGAGTGAGGGGAGTGGTCAACTGACATCTGAAAGACATTAATCCAGTTCTCCCATGAATTAATAGTAAGAACTGTAGTGAGTTAGTTAATCTAATAACTAACAGTGTTAATCTTTAACTAACAATGTTAGTTAATCTAATAAAGAGCAAATATTTAAAATTAAGAAATGCAGCTTTTTCTTTCACCTCTGTCAAAATCCCTTCTTCATTTTATTCCATCATCCTGGCACAAAGAGGACAGTTTCCTACTTTAGTATCTAAAAAGTGACTGAAGATATTCAGAGTGTGTTTAAAACAAACTGAACAGAGTCTTCTTTGTTGCAGTAAGCAATTTGGCACTTGTGAAACCAGACAAAGCAAAAGCAGTAGAGAATTATCTTATACAGATGGCAAGATTTGGACAGCTACCTGGAAAGGTGAGTTATGTCTTGCTTTTTTTTCCCCTATATTTTCTTGCATATATTCATTTTCAAACTTAACTCCCTCAAAAATATTTAATGTTGTTAATATTCATAGAATTAAATAACTGAAAAGGGCACTTAGGAACACTTCTAACTACTATGGTATAATTCACCAGTCAGACACCTTTCACAAAGGAAAATGTGTTGTTTGTTTGATACTAAGCTTCTACTTTCTAGGTATCAGAACAAGGTTTGATAGAAATACTTGAAAAAGTGAGTCAGCAAACAGAAAAGAAAACAACAGTAAAGGTAAGTTTTGTTTCCTAAATATAGTTTATTATTGTTTTTATAATTTATTATATATATATATGTAACTTAATATAGTTACAAGCTCAAGCAGGAAAGCTGCATGTAGTGCACTATTTCAGTTCAGCACAGAACTTTCCTTTGTATTTACCATCACTTCTCTCACCCACACTAATAAATAAGCATTGGGTTATATCCTTAGGAATAGTCTAATTTGCAGCTGTTATCACTGGGATAGCAGTGTTGTGTTGAGACAGACCTGTGCTTTTGATCTCTCCCATTTTGCCAGGTGGGGACTGGAAGGTTGCGATGGGGTGAAACGCCTGCTTCCCAGTAATAGATTGTCAGATGGGTGGAGTTGGAAAGGCTTTTTCTGTGTTGGATTTACTGTGACCTTGTATTTCATTTTAGTTCAACAGAAGGAAAGTACTGGATTCAGATGAAGAGGATGATTATTAAATACTACTGTAAGCCTGCCAAATAAATGGTTGGACAAAGGCAACAGTTATCAGGCAGAATGCAAATTCTGAAAATGTTTACGTTTCTTTACTTCTTTTTAAAATATATATAAATATGTATAAAGGCCAACAAATGAACTTGTCTTGTAAAATACACCTGAGAAGGGGATTTTATAACTGAAATTTTTGTAGTGTAAGTGGCCTGAGCAGTGTGGAGTTCTCCACTGCTTGAGTAGCATGAAAATTGTTGCCCCTTACTCAGTGTGTAAGCTATGCTTTCAGCACCTGTACACCCTTAACCTGCTGCTATTGGAGATACGGTAACAGGAGAACTTCAGTGTAAAGCTGGGAACAGCCACTCCCTGCAGGAGTTTAAAGGACTTACCTCCACAGCCTAAGTCACAAAAGTGTTAGAAGCAAGGTTTCCTGAGCCCCTGAAGGAAGCCTCTCAGCAGCTCACAGACTCTCAGCTCTTTACTCGAAATTTGTAAATTCAAATTAAAGCATCAAAGTAGCCATTATTTGTGTTTGGATTGGGGCGGTCTCTATTATAAAGAAACTGTTACCATCATACAATTGAAGTGTTCTCCTACAAAAAATCAGGCTGTCTCAAAAAAAAAAAGTTAAAATTAACTGTGTAATTGTAATCCAGCACTGTTCAGACATTTGGCATCGTACATTCTTAAAGCTACCTCCATTTTTATCAAATAGCTGGAGAGTTTCTTAAAAAAAAAAAACAATCAGTTTTCCTAAATTTCTGCAACTCCTGCATGCATAAAGTAAAACTTGTGCTGTACATTTATTCAAAAACATTGTGCTGATAAACACTCTACAACCACAAAGCCCTCTTCTGACATAATTTAACATAAACATGTATGATCCTAACTGCAGTGGTTTTTGGAACAGAATAAAACTGTTTAAAGTGAGCACTAGTAAGCGTGTTATTCCTGTGCAAAAAGCATGCCTTCAGCATGGCTGTTCTATAGACCTGGGGAGAATTTCTAGTACTCCCTTCAAATCTTATCTGAGTTTAGACTTCAATTATCATGTCTTAGAAAATTAGTATATTTCTTTAATGATAAGCTTGGTCAAGCACATCAGAGGAATCTTTCACTTACCTAAATCATTTGTTAGATTTTATTTGGAACTGGTCAGGATTTAAGTGCTTTGATACATAAAAATCCAAAATGCCTGGAAGTAAGCTTTATCCTAGACTGAATGCTGAAGTAAAAGTGAAGCATGGTTTGGTCACTTAAGTAGGTTTGGGTTCAACAGGACAACTGTTCAGATAGAACAACAACAGAAAACTCAAGTTAATGAAGCTACTTTTGGTTTTGTGGGTTTTTTGGGGGGGGAAATTTTATAATTCATTCAAGAGGAAAGCGTTTTCCAAAGGCAAGCACTACTATAACACTTGGCCAGTTCCTGTAAAATGAAGAGTGCTTTTCCTAATCAGCCCATCTCCTCGTATTGGTATAACTGTAGTTGTGCTTCATGTTCTACACTTGTGCACAGTCTCGGTAGCACCTGACACTACCCACAGACATAACAGCAGCAAATAGATATGCCAATATGTGGCACTTCAGGGCATCGCTGTTCCTACATCTGTGCTTAGGGACTGCTTAATTGTGGACTGTTTCTCTGCTGTGTATAGCTGCTTACAACAAGCCAGTTAAAGATCATAGAATCATTTGAGTTGGAAGGGATCTTTAAAGGTCATCTAGTCCAACTCCCCTGGTGACTAGAACTTCCAGCCTTGCTGAGGTAGTGCAGGACGTCTCTGTACAGCAGGGAGATGTCTACTTGTCCATCAAACAGACTAAATTTTAAAAGTGAAATTAACCAAATAATTACATAGTCATTTGTATCAAGATGTTGCAGCTCTTTCACTGCTCGCATAGAACACAATGGAACACTTTATGCTTCAAACAGAACAGCAGTGAACAATTTGTTTTCCATAACCCGTTGCAGTCAAAATTGGCTTTTAATAAAAAAACATAAATTAAATTCAGAGTTCACATCTGCTGATACTTATTTCAAAGGTATTTAATAAACTCACTCAGAACTTGTTTCCACAGCTACTCAACTCTAATATTCTGCACTTACACACTGTAGCATAGTAGCACCAGTATTAAAAAACTATGGAGATGATTTTTCTCATTCAGACTGTCTAGAAATCTTATCATAATTTAGGTAAAACACATACTGTAATTAAGACATAAGCTAAATTCTCAGTATTTAGTTTGGAAATCAGATCTATGAAATTTAATTCTATCTTTAACTTTACAATGAATCTTTAGATATTTCAAGAACATGACAGGCAGGGATGAGCGACGCGCTCTAGGACAACCTTGCAGTGTTGCAGGAAGAAAAAAGACTAACTAGTTCATCTGTTCATCTCTCCACTTGCTCTTCTGGCTTGCTGTAGTTAAGATCAATCCCACCTTTTTTTAAATGAAGAAGGAACTTAAAAGTGAAAATGTCCAGTTTCACAGATAATTCTGTATTTAACATTTATATGCCTGAAATCCCAAACCACACAACCTACTAATAGCAATCTGCGAATGCAGAGCAGAAAAGGGAAGAAACTCCTATTGAACAGGACTAAATTCCAACAGATCCCCTCAATTTACACAGATACAAGGTGAACTCTTCAGATGTCTACAAAAACAAATCCACAAAAAGACGCAATGCTTTAAATAAGCACTCAAAGAAAACAGCACTTTCAAGAATTACTTTACTAGCTTTTTCTTTCCATCTTTTGGCACAAATCCAAGGCACATTAGAAAAGTCAGATAAACTCATAAACTATTAGAAAAATAAACACAAGATCCTCAACTCCAAATGTCTAAACGTGCATTTGCAGCAAATTTTACCTCTTAGATTAAAAAGTTACTTGAAAAAATCACCAGCATGTCCTCCAGCTTTCTACTTTGCCAGGCAGTTTACTAATATTGCAATTAAAAGGAACAGAATTATTCATACAAATAAAATGAAAGCTGGATGTGGTGAGCCACGGATAAAAAAATACTGCACTTAGGAACCTGGCTTGTGCTATGTACATGTTTTACTACTGTAACCAAAACAGTAGAAAACAAAATCCAAATCTAAGCAACCATCTCAGTTACTTGTGAGCTTTTGGTCTTCAGTGATCACCTCTGGGAATGATCTATTCCAACAAAAGCCAACTGATGTGAGGGGTACCTTTTAGAAATGGAAGTTCATGGAAGTTCACTTTAAATAACAGTCTGGGTTCAGGCTCTCAAGCAGCGGTTTTGCCTGCAGATGTCACCCAGGTTCAGAATCACGAATATTCGTGGCACTTTTTGAATGGCTAGCTTTAGAGGAAGAAAAAAGCAAACCTTAAAACAATTTTGTGTGTCCTTACGCACTCTTGCTTCTGCGTATTTTTTAATCAGGCTGAACACTGAGTTTACACTTTAGCTTTGCAGGGGCTCTCTACTTCTCCCCACTGTCTTGACTCCTAAAAAGAAATTGATGTTGTAGATACAGAGGAGCATTACTAAGAAATTAGCAAAGATTAGTTCCCTTCATATTATTAGCATGTATATATGTCTAACATGGTGTCACAGATGGACTACTGTTTTCTCAGCTACTGAAATATACAGAAAAATTTATGCTATAACAGTTTGTAATATTCGAATAAAAATAGACATTTCAATTACCTCTGTCAATAAATAGCTTGTTATCCAATATATCTTTATGTATATATAAATATATATATATATTTGTATATATTTATCCATTGTAGTGGTAAAAACCAAAAATGCGAAAATTATTCAAAGACTTTAAAAACAAAGTGGATGGCTGAAAAAATACAATACAGGGTTTGGTCTGGTTTACTGTTATATATGATTTTTTAGTAAGTGCTACGTAGAACATGAAGGTAACTTTACTGCCTACATACGTCAGTACTTCCCTGTTTGTTAAGATCAGCAACGATCTGGCTCTGTAGTTACCTCCAAGACAGATTCAGTCTTCAAAAGTTCTAGGAACATTCTGTTTCTGCTGAAGAGTTATCCCTGTATTCTCTTCTGAAGGCATAGCTTGCAAGCGTCACCGAGTTCTTTGATATGCAGCAAAGGGATACTGAAATCCACACCACCTGGTTCCAAAGCTTTTGACATCACATCTGCACTTCTTTGTCAATGTTTGGAAAGCAAGTCATCACAGCAGTCTCTCGATTGTGAAATACTTGGGCTTCCAGGGCTGGATAAACTATTACCACTGACACTCTCTGCTGAAAGCGGAACATTAACAGTGTGTCTCCGGTGCATTAATTTACTCCTACAAGGAGTTTCTATCATGTCATCATGTTTCATAAATTCGCCACTGCATTCTGCGTCAGTAATCTTAGCTTTGTTCTGGTCCAGTGTTTCAACAGATTTTAACTTGGTTTTATCAAAGCCTTTAATAGCTAACTGTGGGGAAGGAAAAATGGCACGTCAAAAGCATTGTCTGGTTTCTTCACCACAAACATGGATAATTAAAATAGTTTCGTGAATATAATTATCATATTAATGTCATGATATTGACACTGAGAACACAGTCGAGAATTAGGAATAGTGCACTTTGTAGGACATTTATCATCTTCAGTCTGAATATGTGAAAACAAGAAGAGGCCAACTTGCCACAGCAACTTATCAGTACCAGAACTGAAAAGACAATCAAGGCATTCTAAAACTTATTTTCCAATATGATCTTATCTCTTACAAACATCTTTTGTAGTGCAGGTCTTAAGTTATTGCAGCAGTTGTTTCTCATACCACTAAGAAATGTGCTGGCAGTTACAGAGACAGGCTCAACTAGACACTGCAGAATTAGGTCCAAAAGCCAAACTGCTACCAGATCTGTCAGGGGAGAGAGACCCCGTGCTCCTTCTTCAAGACTCTTGTTCAGTCACTCCAAGTACTCCTACCTTCCATTTCTATATCTGCCCAACTTTTCTTTTACAAAAAAGGTGGCTCTCCTTGATCACTGGCCGCTTTGCTGATTTAAATATAAAAATTAGAAATAGATATTAAAAAAAAAAAAAAAAAAGGCCAAGCATACTAATGACAGATTTTCTGAGAAAATAATTAAGGGCAGAAAACAATTATAATACCCTTTTGCTGAAATAATGGCCAAAAATGGAAAAAGTTTCAGAAGGTGACTATGACCTGTAAATTTACAGAGCCATGACAGTCAAACATGGTGAATGTGCTATATATCATTGTCACATATTTTCTGTCAGTTGATGTATTTGCATGACATGCTCTCTTTGGTGATTTACAACTATAAAATCCAAATCCTGCATTTAATTAATGGAATATTATTATTAATGCTAGAAAGAATTAATAAAATATTACACTTCTGTGGCATTGATTTGGCATTCTCAATTCGCAGATACTAAATCTAACGAGATCCATGAAATGGAAGAGCATTTCATTTTGTAGATGAAGATGAGAGGCAGAGACCACATTTCAGAGGCTACATCAATCTAATAACAGACAGCTACTGAACTAACCTGGTAGAAAACTGCTTTATTTTGGACAGGTTTGTTTTTCTCCTGAGTTAGAATGCCAGAAAGGCTCAGTGAGATTTCCAGTAAGAGTCACAGCCAGTGCAAAGAAGGAAGAGGGAGTGCATGCTCTGGGGGTAGGGCAGCACCCAGCAGCTATACTGACTGAGGGTGCCACAGTATGCCCAACCACTGATGAACTGACCACACCATACAGCTGTGATACAGCTGACAACGCAACATCCATTTTGCTATCTCCCTTGCGAAAAGTCTCCACCTAGAAGCAGATTTATCAATTTACTGACAAATTTCTCTCCTGTGAATAGCACCTCTGCTTGGCAACATCTGTTCTCACAATATATACTTTTTCAAGCATATCCTAGATTTTGCTGGACAAGCAACAGAAAGACAAAAAAATTAAGCCTGCAAGAAGAGGTTTAAGAAATTTAAAAGGAAGTATGAGACATTTAAGAGATGGACAGTAGATGGTACAATTGAGTCTGGACAAGGACGGAACATTAGCAACTTAGCAAGCATGTCAGAACCTTGGGAATTCGTTGACCACCACTGGTAAAGAGATTTCTCTGTTACACATACCTATGTTAATAGCAGATATATATTATACAAGTAATGTGTTTCCTCTTACCTGGTGCAAGAACTGATAGTCAAAATTGGGGACACTTTTATCTCTTGTTATTGTTCTCCGTAAATGTTTTGCTCTAAAATACATTTTAAAGAAATTAAATTTGACACTTTCATTTAGTCTTTTCACAAGTCTTGATGAAAAACCCTCTAGGTGGCACTATCTCAGCACACAAAGGCAACTATCTGACAGTCACTTTTTCCACAAAAAGACAGCCTACTACTATCTCTTATATTTTAGAATCATAAAATCCTTCGAGTTGGAAGGGACCTCTGAGGCCATCTGGTCCAACTCCCCTGCAGCAAACAGGGACACCACAGCTTGCCCAGGGCTTTATCCAGCCTTCCCTTGAAGGTCTGCAGGGATTGGGCATCATTTCATCACACAATGTAAACTGAAATTTGGAAGATAACAGCCAAAACCCAATGTCTGACTGAAGTATTCAGATATTTTTAAAACAGCCTGGCTCAGAACTTGCTGATTTATGGCATAGCAAGTACCAGTGCAAAAACTGTTGTAAATATGTTTGCCAGTACTACCTTCAGAAGCCAGCTTTTCCCCTTTCTGCTTCACATCACATCACTGGCATTCACCACCACCAAGTACACCTGGAACATCTGTCTGGTGATATTAATGTTTATGCCTCTGTGGATTAACATCTACTGTTGTATCTATCTACTTAGTCATATCTGATGTGCAACAATGCTTGGCCCACTTTTGGGCGTTATTAAACAGTTACATGCTTTGTTTGCTTATGGGAAACAATAAATGTACTTCCACGAAAGCATCTATGCTTACTTGTTAAATCTGTTAATTGATTGGACGAGTTGATGTTGTCTGTTCATGGGATCATCAGCTTTCTCACATGGCTCGTTCACTAGGGTTTAAAAGAACAGGCAGCTGTAAGTACAGCTTAGTCACAATAAAGAGTTTAAAAAAAAAGTTCTGAATGAAAAGTGATATTTACTGACAGGCGAAAAAGCTTTGCAGTAATAACTTGAATCAGTCACCATTTCTCTTTGGAAATTTTAAACCATTTTAAGTTGCAGGAGTAAGCACTGTTAATCAGATTAGCACGACTGGCCAAGGTTCTGGAGAGACTGTTTAATTCTGGACTTTGAGGCTCATCATTCCAATTTTTACAAATGTGTGTAACTAATGCTTTTCCACTTCTTCATTAATACTTCTTAGTTATGTCTTTTGCTGGTCTTTTAAAAGCTATTCCCATGATATTTGAAATGATTGCATCAGTCTCTGGCAACAGCATATGGCGACAAATTTTATTTTAACAAAATATTGACATTCTTTCCTGAGGAAGCAGATGAGGTACTTTGAAAAGTCTAACTAAAACTCATGGATGCTGAAACGGGCACTTCTGCTTCTCCTTTTCCCTCTGTCCTGGCCATGCAGCCTCAACTGTCTTCTTTCCACAACTGGGGTGGCAGCAGGTCCTTTGCTATGCTGAGTTGTGCAGCTCAGCACAAAACTTGTTACTTGTTATACCCTATCTCCTCTGTTTGCGAACTGTATCAGCTGGGAAATCATCTAAAAAACTTCTGAGCCAGCATAAGGAAGCAGTGGATAAGGACAACAGAAGCAGAGGGAAGGAGAGATGAAGTGATGATGGGCCAGGAGTAACACCATTTCTTTTAAGTGGCAATAAGCTACATCAGCTCAGCTGTACCATCAAACAGTACCATGCATCTCAATATATTGGTTTAGACTGTACTAAATGCTCCCACTTACAGAAAAGCATTCTTTTGCAAATCTTGCTTGCTGGCCTAGAAAATTATTTCTGTAGCTTTGATTTCTGTCCCATAATCTCAGAGACAGAACACACTGAAGTATCTGTCTTAGGGCAATGTGGACAACAACCAGAGGTGATTTAATCCCTTCTTCTTTGCATTGAAATGGACGAAGTATTGCATGGTTAATTATATAATCTCAAATGTGACTTTTTTTTTTTAACATGAAATGATTTAGTATGTAAAATTCCCTGCTATGCACCAAAGAAGTGAAAACTGAGTTTGTAAAAGATGTCATATATGTAATTAAAAGTCTGCTGAATTTAGTTATATTATTCTCAGCGTTTCCTGTAAAAAATATTTTTATTTTTATATTTATTTATAATATTTATTTTTATTGTAAAAAAACAGTTGGCTATTCTTTAATTACATGCAGATCATATTGTCTCAGATTAATTCCTAAATCTCTTTTTATTCATAACAGTGGATAAAGGACATGTACCTTTCCTTCTTATCTTGATAGTAGCATGCTGCTCACATTCCTTTTCTTCCTCTGCTGATGCAGGTACACAGCTTGCTGCTGTTTCCAGCAACTTAATGATATTTGAATTCTTAATTTCAGAAGTTTCCGTTTTCATCAGTGTTGAAATAAAAATAAGGAAATAAAAGTACAATTTCAGAATTACAGTTCATGCAGGTGTGTTAGCTGCTGAAATGAATGTACATAAGAACACCTCTTTATAAATAAAGACTTCATATCAGCTTGACTCTGGACAAAGCCTGTGTTCCACAGGGTGCAATGTAACAAAATGCTTTTGCAGTCTTTATCTACTATTTCAAATTATACCACTGATGGGTAAGTTCATTTATGATTAGATTGATAATATGTATACTGAAATTGATGCAGTACAGAATTTTGTGGCTGCTATTCTACACGTCAGAAGCTATTTAAGTACAATAAGATAGGAATCATTTAGAGAATAATTCCTTATAACCTAGTATTAATAAAATGAAAGTTGATGACGACAAGATAAAAGATATCAAAAAGCATGAAGGGCAAAACATGGTGGTGAAACAAGACTGCTAGCAGGGTAACTGATTAGAACAGGGTGTTTGTTTTCCTACAGCCTGCATTTCTTCTGCTCTCTCTGCCACTATTCACATTTTCATACATGTATGTGCTTTCACTCTTCCTAGGCTCATCCTTTTTGTCTAGGATTTTTATTTTAAAAGCACTACAGCTTTCACATATCACAAGTCATGGCACAATAAACAGGCATCTTAGTCTTACATCGCATGTAACTTTTGAGTACAGACGTCTCGGCAATGAAGGGCCAAAAATGCTGCTGTGACAAGCAGTTACATTTGCTTTACATTACACCTATGGAACTTTAGAAAATCGGAATGCTGGAAGCAAACTCTGCACTCACCGGCTCAGCACAGTCTGCAGGGGTACAGTTCCTTTCATTCTGTATGTGTGTCATCGCACCATTCTGAAGCAACAAGTCCACCAGGGCTTCATTCTTCCCTATCACAGCCTCATGCAGTGCTGTATTTCCTTTGGCATTAGAAAGGTTAACAGAAGCTCCATGCTGGACAGCAAAATAAAATCAGAGATAATAAAAAGCAGCCTAAAATTGAGATAGCACATTATTATTGTGCTTCTCTCCCCTTTCATTTTCTATGTAGCAACGAGAACAAAGCAACAACAGCCTTGTAGCTGTATACAAAACCAAAAAGCATATGCTAGCAATCACCAGTTCAACAATAAGCCACCTGGTCATATTATTATTTCCTACTCTCTCATAGCCACAATTTCATAGAGAAACTCATTTCATTTTTTGTGTGTATCTTCTAGATAGGCCAAGTCTAAAGGAGACTTAAACTAAACAACAACACACAAAATGCTAAAAAAAAAAAAAAAAAAATTGATACAATCACAAGCAAGAAAATCTGCCATGTGCCACAGAGAAGTTCCTTAAAAGCAGTTAGCTGTACAATCGCAAAGTAACATTTATCTCATCAAAATCTGTGAAAAGAGGAAGAGGAAAAAACACTTTTTTTTTTTTCTGAGTAATTTTAATGGAGAAAAGCTTAAATAGTAATACTAATCTGAGTCCTAACCAAGCACCAGTAACACATAAAAGTGGTATTCTGAAGACTGTTTTCAGTGATCTTACCTGTAACAACAAGGCAGTAGTCTCATAGTGACCATTCAAGCATGCATAAATTAGAGGAGTATTTCCATATGCATCCTTTTTATTTTGTTTAGCACTATAATTCATTAGACATTCTACCACCTGTTGAAAGAAATAACTTTTCAATTTAAGATACTACCTAACCGCAATCATGCACATTTCTTTACATGCAAAAATCTGTAAATAGAGAATGAAAAAGGGATGCAAGGAAGCAAGAAGATGGAAGAAAACAAGTCTCAGTTTTGCCAAACAAATGACAATGAAAAGCACTAATTCTTATCATATAGTTTCCATAATTTAGGCCACACAAACCAACTAACCATCACCTCAGCCTTGAGCATCATTAAATTAATTTTAACTGTTAACTGGTTTATCTTGTTGCTAATTTCACAGAAGAGTTTTTTGCTGGTGGCTCTGTGTTAAATAGTTTGCAATTAGAGGCTCCATTACCTGGGAGTGACCTTTCTGGCAGGCTAAATGAAGAGGCACTGCATGTTCTGCATTCTTGGCACTGATACTGGCTCCATGTTTCAACAAGAGAGAGACGAGGTCAGAGTGTCCATGCAGTGCAGCCATATGCAATGGTGTAAAACCATCTTGATTTGATACATTTACACCAAGGCCATTAGCAGGGACCCTTGCAAATTTCTGTTGAGGAGTACACAAAACAAAATAATTAAGTCTGTTACTTTCTATTGACCAAAATGCAATCAAATACTTACTAAGTAAAACACCAAGCAGCTGGACAGACATTACAAGCACTTCAACTACAGAACCTCACTGAAGACTTTACAGCTGGTGAATCAGAGCACCTTTGCAGTATTTTTCAAGTTTTTTTCTCTTTTTCTTTCAGTATGATAGCTCCCTATATAGAAATTCCTGGCAAAGTGTTCATGTTATTAAAAAGGGACAAAAGGTGTGTAGGTTGAGATGGAAGTAAGGCCCAGTGCTTTTTATATAGCTGTTAGGATGCTGTTACATACAGACACTGGGTGTTAATACTTTATGAGCTACATTTCACAAATACTCACGGCCTGCAGACACTATGTACCTATTTTACTGCACTAGATAATACTGCTAGGTAATACATATAATAACTAATTTATTTTTTTTTCCCATGTGCAAGTATCATTGTTCCAGAGCACAGACTCCATGGGGAGTCAAGAAAACTACCTCAAACATGGCTTACACAGCAGTATTTGTTTTTACTCCTCTCACAAACTGCATGGGTGCTTCATGTTCACAGTGGTAGATCTTTCATCCTGCCCGTCCTCAGTGTTCTTTAAAAGGTATGCTTAACCAGATCAGTTAACAAATCACTTCTGCTTTTCATTAGGTAAGTAAATTCCAAAGCCAGTGCCATTCCTTCCCCAATACCAGTAGAACTCCACATTCTCCAGGTGTGGCACCTTTAACATATGGTCTCCATATTCAGAAGTGCAAGGAAACAACTTATCAAAGAACAAACCACAAACCCTACACAAAAAAAGTGTAAGGTAGCAGTGAGGAATTTAGAAAAACATAAGCCGTCTCACATCTTTGCTCTTTATGGATACTTTTACTTCAAAATAGCCAATGCAGTGAAAATTTATAATTTGGTTTATTCTCCAATGATTTATCCAGCAATGTACATCTTAAAAAGTAGCAATTCTTCTTGAAGGGCAAGTAATTGGCATTCTATTTCCAAGCCTGAATCATTTCCTTACTTTAAAAAAAAAAAAAAAAAAAGTATTTTAAAAGCTCTGTACTCCATGACAAATAAGTCTTTGTACAATTTACTATCATCAGATGAGTTCTGTTGTGGTCTGTACATATTTCATTACTTTTTGGACACAGATACAGAGGTGTTGGTCTATATGAATGCTATTTCCCTTGAGCTAGAAGCTGAATTACATGAACACAAATTATTCTATTTACAGAACGAATATTCCAACCTTTTGTGCTGGCCCACATTTCGAGCACTGGCATAATGGATGGCAGAATTCTGGTTTCAATGTACTGACTGCATCATCTTCATCTTCTAAGTCTTCTTCTGTCCATTCCAAGAGATAACGTACCTGGTAGAAAAAGCAAGTCCTCCTTTACAGTTCCACATCCTAACAAATCTGCATATCTGCATTTATACAAGTACGATTTCACAAACACATACTTGTGAATATCACAGGAAGACTATATAGCTACCTCCTGCCATCACTTCCCCTGAGGCAAATTAAAACATCAAATGTTACTATTGACAAAGCAGCTAGAAAATTCACCAAGTATAGCAGTGAAGTAAATTATAAACGACTTCCTGCTGCCTAATCAAGACTTCAATGTTCACCTCCGCCCAAACCTTCCAAATCCCTTTAGCTCAGATGATGATTAGACCAAGATTTGTGCCAGCTGGTGTCAACATGAATTTTGTTTCATCTTTTCCTTTAACAAGCATAAGAAGTGACAAGGATAACAACATTTAATCAATATCCAAGCTTTGCAGGTGCACTGATTTTTCCTAGGTCTGTTACTTCCCAGAAGCTTGACAGTTTTACTTCCCCTCAGTGTATAATGCCTACTTTTTAAGAGAGAGCTTTTCAATGAAACTAGTCTTAGGATTCAGACCGTTCCTGAAGGCTTTGCATGCAGTGACACTTACTGCAAGTTAATTTTAAACTAAATTCTATGCAATAAAGCCATTGAAGAAATACATTTTTACACTGGAATCCATTCATCCAGTGTAAACTAAAGATATCTTAGAATAAGCGAAGGCTCCATTATTGCAGTAAATGACCATATAGAAAGTATAGCTTGTATACCTCCTTGCAAAAAGCTGCTACATAACTGAAACACATTTGGGGAATAAAGTTTAATCCTTTCTAGACAGATCTTCTACACTGTCCTCAAATACTTTTTTCTCACTAAAGACACAAAGGATTTACCAAAGTGAGCTGAATGTCATTTTCAGAATGCAGAACTGTCATTGGGTCAGTTAATTAAAATAACTCTCACTGATTAACATAATTATCTCTAATTTAAAATATAATTGCTTTTGAAGTTTGCAGGTGCTATGATAATGACAAAAGTTGTGTTTTTTTGGCTTCCTGAAGAATCAGAGCATAATTATTATTTTTGTTACATCTTCCAGTTCCATGGCACTTTGTTTAATGCCTCCTCTTGCAAAGCTGAACTGGCTGTCAGAGGAGAAATCTACAACACTAATGACCCTTCTGATGCTTCCGTTCCTATGGAGACAGAACTCAGGCTGTCAGAACAAGATAAGAATTTTCAAATGACCCTTTTTTGAATAGATACTCAAGCTGTAGATGATATGCTGATATGCATGCATGCCATCCAGTTGAACAGTTCTCTTTCTAACAAAAAATTTTACATAAACTTGAATAATGTGGAAATAAGGCCATGAAAAATAAGGTGACTCTGTCATCTGAATACATAAGTTAGATTTCTAAATGCTTCTCACTGACGAGGTCTCTTGATCATTGCTACATATTTATTTTCTAGCAGATTATAACAATATATTTAATTTTCCTTAAGTATTTTATGATAGTTTAGATTTTGACAAAATCTGTGAAGAGTTAACTGTAATACACTCTTGTTTACTATTTGCTAAGGCCATAGAAAATATCACTGCCAGGTATATTGCTGCTTCTTGAAAGGCCTTAAGGGCTGACTTGGAAATAATTGCTAAGGTTAAGCTATGCCGTAAACTAGAACAATGACATTTACATTTCTTCCCCATGATCCTTTCCTCTATCTCCAGATAAATAAATTCCTTCTTATCATCAAAGTGGGACAAAATACATGAGAGAATCAGTATTAACACTGTATGTATTTTGCACTGCACTTTATCGCTTTATTACGACTGCGTGATTAGGATGTGAAACTCCCAAAATACGTATCACCTAAATGATTGTTTCAGAATATGCCTCCTGAAGAGAAATCCTGCATTCTCACACAGGTTCGTGCTTTTGTCCCGTGAAGTAACAAAACAAATCAGAAACATACAGCCTCATGTATGTTTTGAAAATATAAAACTTGTAAAGTTTTCTAAGCAACGCCTTCAAGTTTTCAATGCAGTGTCATTGGAAACATCTTATTTTTCAAACTTCTGCTCATAAATGGCCATAGCAACTCAAAAGAACATCAAAACAACAAGTATCCCAAGCTACAGGACACCAGCTCTGAATCTGATACTATTATAAACATCAACTCATCTACTGAAGAGAGATCCAGACTACAGAAAAGTTGTATGCTCCTAAGGTAACTCCTATTCTGTATTGACTGCTGTCACAAAAGGTTTCTCTAAGCATAAACTATAAATAAAAGTGTATCACAATAACCAAATAAGGGCCCACTTTTCATTTACGCTGCTTTACACTGCAAAACAAAGAACAGACAACATTCAAACCATTAGATAATGCAGAAATGCAGGCATGTATCCATACCTGGCTAGGCATACATTTTTAAATAGCAGTATTTCATAAGGGACAAAATTATTTAAAGTGGCCAAAATAGAAAATAAAAGAGGCTTCTAAAATATACAGAAATACAAGATGCTATTCATGTAATGCCCCCAGAAGATTACCAAAGTCAGTATGTGCAAAAATCACACTATGAACCTAGGGAGCAGCAAGCGCAAGAAAAACCATAAAAATTAAACACAAATAGCAACCTTGTATATCAGGAATATTGGGATAAATAAAGACGATTCCACTAATACTAAGAAGCAGCAAAATTCCCTTCCAACTCCTTGGATTTTACTTGTTATCTGCTCTACCTCTTCCAGCACACTGGAGTGTAAAGCTCTGTTATGTACATAGCTTGAGTACAGGGGGTTAATGGGATAACAGTGGTTTCCTGTGCACACGGATTCATTTTTCAAGGTAAATTTCAGCTCTTGGAAGTCATGAAAATTTCTTGTTCTTTTCAAAAACTGCTACCAACAGAATTCTGATGAAGATGACCCAGTAATAGCTCTATCAGGTGTAACAACATTTTTTCCAAAATCATAATAGTGCCCCAGTAAATATCATTAATGTAATATAAACCTGCAATTAAAAGGAGTATATTTAATTAAACCAACAGCTCCCATTTAGTTGACACTACGTTATACTAACCAAATTCATTTATTTACTGAATGGTCATGAAAATGTCAAAATAATAGCCCTCAAAGCACTGTAGGTAAAATGATTTGAGAACATCAAGTGAAAATTCTTGGTAGAAAACAAGCTCTACATGATTGTTTCTGAAGGAAGATACTAAGTGAAGCATTCTTACCTTATTATTTACAAATAACTTCCTCAATTTGAATGAGGTAAATTGGAATTCAGTAACATTCAACAGCCATTTTAGGACTCACCATTTCCAGATCTCCATCAGCAACTGCTCTTAGGAGTTTTTCCACCTATGTATGAAGAAAATTCATTTGCTTTGTTAGTATTCAGCTGCACATGGAAAATCCCGTCTCTCTTACCAACCCCTAAGCTAATGTAGATGGGTTAGTGCTGGCCATTTTATATTTGCTAATGAAGTTTTAAACAAAAAAACACCTTCCTTTAAATACAAATAAATACAAAAGCTGTGAATTCACAATCATTTGGAGATCAATTAAAGATAAATAGTAGTTGCCTAAATAGAACACAAGTTGTCCACATACAGGGAAAGCCATATAAGCTGCTACACATTACTACACTGCTTCAGCAGCAGTTGACCATACATTACTGGTGTGAATTTAAAACTAAAGAAAACCTTATGCAAGTGAAACTCCTGCCCTGATGAAAACTACTGCTGTCTGGGCTCTTGTCAACTTCAGCAAATTATTCCAGCACTGTGCCAACATCACCGAAGACACTGCTGTACGAACAAAGCTGTTTCAATTAAGTTCAATCTCAAGTTGAATATATCATGGAGTAGCAGCTAGAGTTGCATTTCAATCTTTATCTAAATATGATAAAGACTGCTCATTACAGCTGCATCTCCACACATTTATAACAAATGCGCAGCATGCTGTACAAAAGGGTATAACTGATAGCAATAAAATACTTTCACCTCTCACTGTTCCAGAAAGCACGTTATCAGGAAAACTCCTTTTAGAAAGCATATATGACAGTATCACTCAAGGAAGGCACTATTATTCATGCAACAGAAATAAACTGACACTCCTTGAAAGTGCACAGCTTTACTTATGTTACTAATGGCAATTAACACATCAGTAACATTGAGCTTATGTTTCATCACTACAGTACTTTAAGTAGTCTTCACTTTTCTGAAAGGGTGGGGAAAAAAGGAATTGTTGACCTATTCTAAGTTGACTAGTATTAGATCTAGTTGATCTACTACATTCTGGGAAACAGAAATATTTATCAGAAAGCTGTTAGCAAGATAGAAAGTTTTTAATTTTTAAAAGGCATGAACGTACATAAAATGTTTCTGATTAACTCTACATTTTGTGCATGAACTATCAGCCCCTTTCCATAGCATTTTTGGAAGGAGTTTTATTATTGTTTTATGCCAGGTTACAAATACAAGTAAAGTTAAGAATCTTTAAATTATGTTACATTTGGATAAACAGAATGGTAATGTCAGCCGAGACAGTGCTAACAGTGGATGCGGAGCGGTGAAAGACTGCAAGAACAGCAAGTGACTCTTAAGGATACTTCAGAATTCTCTGCAGCTATGTAAAGTAGGAAGGGAATCTCAGATGGAAGACAAGCAGGCTGTGAGTGCAATATTTGCTACAGCAAACATGGAAGAATGAAACTAAAAGGAAGTCATATTTCACTGGTCTGATCTCCTTCAGGGTTTTATCAGAACAGGACAAATCTTGTACAGACAAAAGAGGCTAGATAAAATCTCTCCATCCCTTTTTATTTCCTTTTAGGAAAGCTACTAAATTCTGTTCTTCCACATTACTACAGTTCTAGTATAAGGTGAAGTTCCTTGAAGTCATGCACTAGGCCCTCAAGGCAGCATTCTTCTTACCCAACTTACAATGTCTAAAAGCCATCTGTATAAATCTAAACTCCCTCCCTGGTACCTGCAAAATAGAATGCAGACAAACAACACCTGAGTACAGCTGAGCTCGAATTAAGCATTTAAGATGTCTAACTAAGATGTCTAACTAACAGGAGAAAAATAGGCGACTAAACTTAAGACGATTGTCTTTCAGACATGCGAAGGCAGGTAAGCTGTATCCTCTGCACATGCACATCTAAAATGGACCAAATATATTAAGAAGATCTGTACCATCCTTAAATTTCCCTAGCACAGTTCCCTAGTCATACAGAATAATGTCATCACAGAAGCTCTTAATGATTTTCAGGGATCAGTCTTATCACATATAAGATACCTAACAGGAATAGCAAGTTACCCACAAGCTCTGATAATTCCTTTCCAAAAACAACTTCCTTAGAGTTCTAAAAACTGCCCCAGGCCTTAACAGTGAAAAAATACATAAATCTATTATGCAGCTTATGGATTATTTATTAAGAGTACTCGGGCTAAAATGTTTGCTTCACGCATTCCTCCATCTTCCCAGCTTGCTTTCTCATTCCTCTGTGGAAGGTAAGTACTCTCCTTTAAATGTAAAAATGAAAGAAACAAAGCCACTTGATGAAGTCTACTGTAACTTATTCACATACTCAGCTTTTCTGCTGCTGAACAGAAATTGTACTAAGAGTTATCAGTTCCAACAAATGACATTCCAAATTTACATATCTAGCTCTTTTTCTTTTCTAAGTTGTAAATGAGACACGCTCAAGGCTATATGCCATAACCAGCAGTAATAAAGACCCCACTGCATTCCCTTAATCCATGATCTAAGCCTTGAAGTCTGAAAAACTGATCTTACCAGTTTCCCATTACTTCCGGTGGCATTCCCTTTATGAGGAACTCTCAGGATTAGGCCCTTGTCTCTTTGCTTAGTAAGAATAACAGCCGTGAGCCCATTCGAAACCTGGCAAACAGAACTGACCTAAAGCTGGATTACAGGAAGAGGTCATTAACCCCAAGAATATAAGGTGTAAGCTGCTTGTAATCTTTTCCCCTGGTTTGAACTACGGTCTTAGCTCTCATGAACGATAAATTTGTTCCCTCAAGGAAAAGCAAATCCTCAATCTATCAGGTAAAGTTTTACATACATTGGAGCTCATTTACAGAGCCTGTGTGCACAGAGAAGTACACTCTGACATCTAGGCTCTCACAGGCTAAATAGATACCAAAGTGTGAATTAATATTGTCCTTTTGGCAAACTTAGATGTAAAGTTTCCTGACGATTTTTAGAATACAGGAAAGTTTGGAAAGAGGAGAACATTATAGCAGAAGGAATGCAAAGAATTAAAATGCAGAAATGATATGGACGGAAACAAAGATACTGTGGAGATCAAATTGGAAAAAATGGAACAGGAAGATAACGAAATACAAACAGAAGTATCAGAAGGAGTGATTATATGACAGCCTTGGGAGGACATAAATCAAAAGTATGGATTTAAGGTCCCAAATGAAGCAAAAAAAAAAGAAAAGAAAAGAAAAAGGATATTTTTGAAGAAGCAGTTTAAAACAGTCCTACACAATATTGCTCTTCCTAGGTTCACTCACGTTGCTTTTACCTCAGTCTTACCTCTTTATAACTGTTCTTCACTTCATCTTGCCTTACATCAATTGATGCTGATGACAAACTAGAGACAGATGATCCTCTGCTGAAAGTTTCTGTTGAGTGCTGAGGAGACCTAAGTGGTGACTTCAAGTTGGGAAAAAGAAAACAAACAAACAAAAAAACAAACAGAAAAACTTGCATCAGATTAAGCAGGTTAAATGTAAGAAAAAAAAAAATGTTTAGTGATTTCCATTGGTTGTTACCTCAGAAGCACTCTGTCCCCGCTCAAAGGTTAGATAGTTTAATTCCATCAGTGACAAAATCTGCATAAAAATATTAAAGAAAACCAATGTAACTCCACCAACCAAAACATAAATTAGCTGACAACCTAATATTAGTAACAGATCACAACTGAGCAGAGTAGAAGTACCAGTTTACAAATTTATGTTCTGTACTACTGAGAGATTGCATCCATACTACTAGATTTAAAACACAACCATTTTACCTCAAAAGCAAACATACGTTTTAACTTAAATAGTATTAAAGCACAAAATCTTCTTAACAGGTAAGCAGCCACACTTCTGTGGAACTACACTGAAGAGAAATGAGGCTGGAAGATAAACAACAGTACCTTGGAATTTAATGCACACTGTAGCGAAGTCTCTTTCATCCGGTTTTGAGTATTTGGATTTGCCCCATTTTGCAAAAGCACTTCTATGATCCCTTGATAACCCCAACGAGCAGCTATATGGAGAGGAGTATCTCCCTTTTCATTTCCAATATCTAGTCTACAGGAATGCACATCATAGTAGACTAATGCTTTAATGCACTGGAAAGAAAAGGAAAGCCGTTAATAAATTATTGTACAGTCTCCGATTCATATAACATGTGCAATCCTAAATGGCTTGTTTTCATTCCTATATATTCCTATATATATATATTCCCATTCCATATAATCCATCGCCTAAAAGACAGGCTCTTACACTTGAGTGTTATTTGACTTTAACTCTGTTTAATCATTAAATTAGCACAATATTATATTTAATGTGAATGTATAATTAAAATTGCTATGAAGTACTGAATAAAGTCTTAATTTACAGCATTAAACAGTTACCTTCCAATTTATTTTCTTTTTAAAACATGGAAGTCTAGTGCAAACTGGTATCATGGTTTAATTCCTTTCCACTTAGATGTCCACTTAGTTTATTACAAAACAATTACTTACATCCTCATGACCATAAGTGCAGGCTAAATGAAGTGGAGTATTCCCATTATTGTCCTGAACATCAGTACTTGCCTTATAGTGCAATAAGAGAAGCTTAGAAGAAAAATAAAAGCAGACATATAAATAACTTAAAAATTAATACAGAAACAATTGTTACTCTGTATATTCCTTTAGGTTTCTAGTATGATGAAACGCTTCATGAAGAACTGTCTGTCCCTCCTGCTTCCAATACTAACAGTCCCTTTTGGCATTACAGTATTTCTTTTTCTCCCTAATCCAAGAAACAAATAAAGCTGCTGGTTACATATTCAGATTTGTCCTTGAAAAAATGAATAATTTACTGCAGCAACACTGCAATACAGATACCACACAATCATTTATTCCACACATTAGCAGTCTATAGTGGTGAAGAGATAGAATTATTTAGGCCATGGTAACTCAAGGATTTCACATATACAAAATTCAAATACACAACATAGGCAGTCTATCCTAAACACAATTTGAAGAAATTTTATTAATCCCAATGACTGCAATGGCTCTTTTGTCCTAGCCAAGAGCAAAAAGTTAACAGGTTGTCCACTGATACTACATATCAGAGATTTGTATTAATAAAATGGGTTAATTCTCAGGCATTCACAGCTGTCAATTACTTGGTTATTATGAACAGCAGAAAACCTCCCAGTAAAGAAAAACAAAATATAAAAATAAAAATGCTGAAAGATCCTCAATTCTGATAGCACGTACATGTCTGGAAAAACCTTCTGAGAAGACCTAAATGACAGTAACAGTAGAACAGCTTACTAAGAGTCAGATATCTATTATTTAGGTTAAGTACTTGCTTTTATTTCTAATTAAGCCTTTTAGTGCTTACTGTAACGTTTTGATATCCCTTCTGACAGGCAAGGTGAAGTGGAGTTGAACCGTGGTAATCTGTAGCATTGACAATGGCTCCTTTGGCTATTAGTAAATCCACTAATGATGTTTGCCCTTGGAAAATACACAGTCATTAGAAAAGAGAAGTAAAGTTTCCTAAAGAACATTGCTACTTTTCACATTCAAACATGATAACCTCCATTTCTGCATGCTATCCTTCTACATACTGTATATTTACTTCCCACTGGGTATTTTCTGTTTTAAGTTACACGTGGTCAAGACTCTGCAAAAGAACCACCAGTTAAGAGCAAGTTTTGTATTCTGAGTAAGAAAATAAACCTGTCACACGAACCTTTCCTCTGTTAGGACTCAAGATAATAATAAAAGAATGAAGGTGGTTAAAAAAGGAAGCACGAAGAAAATTCATCTTCTAAAAAACTGAAGATCAATGGTACAGTGAACGTTACAAGACAGAATATGGTACAGAATCTACCATGTATAGCCAGCTACAGGAGAAAGAAATTATTAATTTCTCAATTTGCAAGTTCTTTAAAAACATGACTGGTTTCTGATGAAATTGTATCTTTTTCCACAACTGAAGAAAGAACCACAGGAGATAAAAGTAAACCGCTGGCAAACAAATAATCACCTGCCCATAAAAAACTTAAAAGAGCTTAAAAGAAAACGCAGCAACTTCAGCATAGACCAAGATATCAGTTCTCATAGCTAAAAATACTTCAACATTAAATTCACTGTATAGTGAAAGTTGGAAAAGATCTTAACAGGAAAAAGCAGAACATAAGAAGGTGAAAACATGAGCAAAGAAAACCAGTGAGACTCACCACAAATAGCAGCTATATGGAGTGGCGTATATCCCCGGTCATCTCGGGAAAATGCAGTGACAATTGAAGGATCATTCAGTTTCCTATAAAACACAGTGGTTTAAAAGCAGCTCAATTACCTATGCAGCAGGGTTAATGAGGAGATGAAGAGAGAGAAACTGCCAAGGCTGAAAGAAACTGATGCTGGAACTCCTTATCCTTTAACTTTTTGCACTAATCTATCCAGTCTTTTAGGTCTTCTGAGAGTGTTTTTGTCCATGATGTGCAAGTTTTGCTCAAGAGAAGAAACAATTCACATCACGCTTACCAAAAGATATACAGCCTCCATCACAAAATCTGCCTGGATCCAAGGCATTCAGTACTCTAATATTTCTTCTGCTGTTTCAAACTACATGAACATAAGCTCTCTATTATATCCTGAAGTGCTACCAACATCCTAAAGTAAATCTTAGATCAACACTTCTTACATAGCTTTTCCTGCATTTGCAGAGATAAAAAGTGCTTACCCAGAAACTAGCTTCTCACATTTGTCACAGTAACAGAGCGGATGACACATTTTTTGTACAGTGTCCTTATCACTGTCACCTTGACTTAGTAAGCGCTCCACTTCCTCCTGATTACCTGAAGCAATATGCTACAAAAAGCCAAGAGAAGAAATAGAATGAGGAACTGATGTAAAAAGCCATCCTCACAAAAATTTAGAAAAAAGAAAAACAATTTACCAAAGCACAAAAACAAAGAAACTGACCATAAATGACACATACTCAACCGTTAGAAAGCAGAAATGAACAATGTCACAGAACAAAACCCTTTAATGGGCATTCAGCATTAAAAATTATCTGTTCTTGGCTTACCTCACTTTCTATTAAAAAAAATTAAAACAATTAGACTCAGTCACAAAATTGAGCTCCTCTGTGCAAAACCGTTTCTATAAAATTACTATGTCTCTAGCCATAAGCAGCAAACACATGTAATCAGAAGCTCTGTTTTGTTTCCTTGTTCAAGGAAAATTCTTCTAGAACAGTTAGAGATAAGCACATAACATAAAGTAGCTATCAGGTGACTATGTTTAAGTTATTTCAGCAATCTCTTTAATTTTAAGCACTAAAGGTAGTGAGACACAAGCAATTACTAGCATTACATACTTGCTTTAAATGGACTGATCAACACCAATAGCAGTAGCATTTCATCGTCATCTGAGTCCATGTTTCTTAAGCACCAGAATTCATAAAGTCGTATTAACTTGGTAACATTTCAGCACAAAAACACAAACATACTTTCATCAGCTACTAAAACACATTTTGCAGAACAAATATAATTAACGCTGTGTCACATTTCAGAAAATCGCACAAAGGACAGCATATAAATATGAAACAAGTACATATGTAGTTCTGCCAATAAAGTTACCTTAAATAAGCAATCTATTGGAGTAGTAGACATCTGGGATAAAAAGTTCATCCTTTGTTTTAAAAGCAACTTGTCATACAGCCTGTCAGATTCCTGAAGACAAAATATGTAAATAAATTTCCGAAATACTCATTTACAAGTAAAAATTACAAGTTACAGCCAGTAAAAAATTCAGATTTTCTTGAAATTTCATCAAGTCCCAAAATCAACACCTCTCTTGCAATGCTGCCTAAAAAAATCCTCTGTTGTTAAAGCCAGTAAGGTTAGAAACATCTGAGAAGTCTACAGAGATGAAGGTTCAGATCTGTATTTCACAGTATGTTATCTATAGAACTTTTTTCAGTACTTCAAACATTGACATTTTAGAATGGATAAATAATCCAAGACTGCAGTAGAAACCGAGCAGCTGCAACCTGGATGTGGATCTGTTCTCCATCACAATATCAAAACCTCCTTCCTAAAACACATGGTATCTTTGTAAACTCAGTAGTCAGTCAGTCAGTACAATCTTAACATGTCTACACGGTCATTTGGTTGCATGTTTATAAGATCACCCTTCCTAACACCGTAGCTAATTTAACTGACAGCTTTTAAAGCCTGAACTATTTGGGAAGGCGTGCTGTGTTCAGCTATTTATGCCATTTGTTTTGCTTTTTCTATAATAACAGAAGAAAAACTGTTAGCTCGGATTTCACCTTATTAAGAAGAAAAAGTTGTTGGCTGATGTGAAATTATTTTTATTGGTTTTGAATTTAGAGACATACAGTTTTTCAAATCTAGGCACTTCAGCAAAAGATACCCATGTCTATCTTCTCAGAATAATAGAAGTACGTGATCACTGATCGCCTTGGATAGATTCTTACCTGTGATCAGAAATAATTCCGTTTAAAAAAAAATTGATCAAAATCTTAATCAGCTATGAAAAATTTTAAAGCTTTAATACTAAAATCACTGAAGAATTTCATTAGCTGCTTGCATGCCTTGTATTTCATAGAGAATCTCAAAAAGCAGCTAAACTTAGCATAGCTTTAATACTGTCCCTTTCATGGTGTGTTTTACATATAAAGCATTTCAAATATGGAAAAAAACAAGGAGCTATTTAAGACAGTAACCCTTATGTGAAGAGATATGTCTGTCATTTTATTACATGAGTAAGGAAGAAGTCCATTACAAGTGAAGCTACATATCATTTATAAATAAGAACTTGAAAAAAAGCAATGGCATAAGAATCAGGAATTGGTTGAAATACCAAAATAAGTCCTTCAAAGACAAAATTGCTTGTAACAACTTAACTTCCACTCCAATAATTAAAATAAAGCTTTGCTTAGAGTGGGAGCTCTAAGCTCAGCTGTTTCTAAGCTTTATTTAACCTACAACCAAACATTAATGATGGTTTTATCTGATGCGATTCTTTATACAAAGAGATGCATGCACCCAAAGAGGTTGCTCTATACAGCAACCTATCCAGAATAATTCCACCAATAACCATTTACAGCTTGTGAAAACTCTCTCCCTCTTCACCCCACTCCCTGAACCTTATTTACCTCAGCTTGTGTTAGAAACTTCCCTACCTGCCCTCCTATATGCACTTCTTCAGTTCCAACTTCAGGGCCATCTACAGCTCCTTCCATGCAAAAGTCTAAATTCTACCTATTTTCTTGTGCACAGCTTCAAGAAAGTCCCTGTTTCATATCCACCTTCAACTCTCTAAATTGGGTCTTACTATGCAGTAGCTGTACACAGGAATTTAACAAGGGTCCAACACTTATTAGACTAGAATCCCATTAAATAAGTTTGACCAGCACCAGAAAACAAAATGTAGTCCTTCACACTATCAGTTGCATGCTTCTGTCCTCCTTTTGACCCACACTGAAAGTGTCTCTCCAAGACTTGCATGATCTTTAGCAAAGAACTGGGTAAGTTTTTCCTTAAGTGCAATTTTCTTACTGACATGAAGATGATATACCATTATCCCACAGGGTACATTAGCTCCCTGTGGAGTTCTCCTTCTGTAGTTGGTTTCATTAGGGATTGGACAAGAGCATTAGTCAGCCATCAGAAACGCCATCTGAAGCCAACTATAAAATTAAACATAGCCACATGAGGAGCTGTAATGAAGGCCCAGGGCACAGCAATGTTCTTGCTCAGAGCCTGAAACCCTTCAAGCACAATCTGGAAATAGAAGCCATGGGACATCAATCTGACAACTGCTGCTTTTAAGCAGAAAGCAGATCTCCTTTAACACAGATAAAGGAAATACCTAAACTGCTAGGTTTCTGAAGAGAACAATTCTTCAAATGAAGAACAATCAGAAGTTTCTTTTATGTTCATCCATCTCCTTACTTTCTTTTTCAGTTCCCATGGTGGGGCTATCTGCTACAACAAAGAAGCAGAAACTAGGTGTATCACCTTTCCTTTCTACCTGCAGTAGGGATGATGGTCTTTCCTTTTAAACTGTGCTAGAGACCATGGGGTGACTCATTTCCTTGTCTTCAAGACTCCTGTTCGCCCCCCTCATCTAGTATGCTGACTGCTGTGATAGGAGGTGTGGAGAATTCCTGTTGCTTGCTCATACACACAAGAGAAAAGGCAGAAAGCAGGGAACTTGAAGTTCAAGTCTGGAGATGATCCAGCTGAGATATGGAAGAAAGCTTGCTCTTCTGAACACTGTATACTGGTGCAGACACTTCAGTAGCATAGGATTGCCCCCATACAGACTGAGATGTAGTTCATCTTTCAAGACAAGCTCCCAGATAAATAAGTACAATATCTTACTGGCAGTGACACTTATCAGGAAGTTATAATCACTAAGGGCAATTCCAGTTCATAGAAAAGGAAAGCTAGCCTTAGCTGTGTAAGAAGAGATAGAAGCAGGCACTTAATCAGAAACAGTTTTTATTTTCTTCAACTTGCTGATATTTTTGTGGAAGATAATTCCACTTTGGCTCCAGTTCTCCTTCTAGACCATTAGCACTGCTATTTTTGTATTAATTATTAATGTTAGCCAAGCGACTGCAGGAAGCAAAATTGACTGGCAAATTGTTTTCCTTTTAAACTAACATTTTTATTCTTTTTTTCCTTAACAATTTGAAACAACACTGCAAACATGTAGTACCATAATTTCTTTACACATAAAAAGGAAGAGTGCTTTTCTTTGTGTACAAAATCAACACATGCATGACAAATTCATGGAGAGAATAACAAAAAACAAAGCCACAAATAGCAAAATGACTAAAATGATAGTTAAGTGTTTAAGATTGTGCCCCAGGTTGTCCCATTCCAAGCCCTGCACACTGAACCACTAGTCTGGCTCCTGCAATTACATTCCAGTACTCTGCAGTTGGACAGACTGAGACACATCAAATTCATTCCAGTTCTGAGTTAGCTACTTTTGATTTCTATAACAGAGCATGAAAAAAAACATTTTGCAATAGTAGACTTATTTTCTTTTGAGCAGAAGATTCAAGATTGAATATCTTTAATAAGCTAGAAAGTTTTCAGAGCACAGAAGTTTCTAAAGTCACATCAATATCATTCTGGATCCCCAAAGAGATTAGACCTGATTGACAGAAGGTCTAGCTGCAACAGATCCACAAACTTCTAGTCCCTGCTGTGTTAGAAATCCTGAGAAACAAATTTGACCTTCAAGCACTATCTAATGTGATACAGTCCTGCACTCCCACTAAATTATCAACTTTGTGTAATGGAGTTATGTGCACCTCAAACACTTTTATTTCTAAAGAACTTCAACTGCAGTGTAATGTAAAATTATCCAGTAAATCTTCATTCTGCAAGCTAAGCTTTTTAAAATTTCAAGAAAAATGTGTTTAAGTTCAAGCTATGCCTACTATAATGTACTGCATTGCTTTCACAACCACAACAGAATGAAGACAGAAAGTATTAAAAACTTTCTTAAAATTCAGCTCTTGGAGAAAAAAAAAAAAAAAAAAAAAAAAAAGGGGGGGATGTCATTGTTTCTAGTTATAATGAAGAGACATTTACTTCAGATTTACCTACTCCTTAAAGTGTACAGTGAGCATGTGTTGCTACAGGACTGGCACTTCATTCTAACATTTTAGCTTCTGCTTCAGGCACAGCTGCCTCCTAACCTTCGAAGGGTGAAAAATGAACTTGTTAGCTGTTTGCTTCTTCTGATTGGATTTGCCACCATAAAGGTACATAGTTGTGCAACCTTATCAAAATCACATTTGACAGACTTTAAGAGTAGCTTACTGTTGATCTGTCAGAGAGGTTGCCTTGTCGTATGTATTCTATTGCAGCCTCAATTGAGGTTAGACAGTATCCCAATTCATCCTTCACTGAACTGCAGAGCCTGAAGTTCTTGATGTAACTCAAGTTGGCCATCCTGAAATAAAGTTAAAACCATGAATCATTAAAGTTGACACCAACATGTCAGACTTTAATATCACAGGTCATTTCAGACAATCCAGGCAGATATTACATGTGAGTTAAGAGAAACTTCTAGAAAGATTGGTAGGCTGGCATTATCATAGCTGTTATGAGCTTTGCAGAAGGATCTTAACACTTCAGTTCTTCATTATGAGATAAAGTTAAAAACTAGATATAACAAATATGAAGGACAAGGTAAGGACAGCAGTAAGAAATAATGTCTCACAAGTTTCAAGCATCGTAAGTACCACAGTAAATAAATAGCATCTGATATTTGGGATATACCAACACTACTGTCCAGATAAACCTGAAAGGTTTATACATACCTTTCCCAACAGATGAAATAGCCATAAGAGCATATGCTAGCAAGCAACTAAGCATTCAAATCACATTTCTCCATATAACATATCTCAAGCATCTAGAAACTGCATACAGTTTTGCAGTTCCAATGCAAATGTGGATGAACCAGTACTAAGTCCACACCAAACATGCAGATCCAGTAAATGGAAGATTCCCCCATGAGAACAGATTTCCTGATTTGGAATCAAAACAAACAACACTTGAATTCCGAGTAAGTCCTGAATTCTGTCACATCTTTGCTGTTTATCTGACTAGCTTTCTGTATCACATTACCCCTCTTAGACTTTGGGTACGCTATTACTAGAAACATTTGACCCCACTGCACCATTATATACAATATGATGGGGCTTTGTACAGCCAAAGTAGTTACATACCAGTTTGGGATTTCTGTTTTTACAAGTAAATACAGCAAGACAGAGAGTAGATCATCTGCACACATGGTTTCCATGTTAACTAAAAGAAAGAATTTATATCTGATATTAGTAATCTCACAGCTCAAACCAAAACTAAATGCCTATAAATGTAGGTCTGCCTTTTAAGACTAATGGTCAGCTCTCCTAATTGACTAGTAACCAATGCAATCTTTCAAAAGTATGTTCTCAATCTCTCTCTAAAAATAGACTCCCAGAAGCCAAAAAAAACAAATACAGCTGCAATATTTAATTAGTATTCCCTCCTTCTTCACTGGAGAAGTCAGAACAGTGGCTTGAAGGTGAACACTGTCCATTGACATGCTTTTTCATATCCAAAGGGCCATCCAGGAGAAAGAAAGTGATGCTGTGAAGTAAGCAGTATTCTACTGCACCACTTTGTTTGTCTATTGGTAGCATCTTCCCTTTCCAGGCTACATAAAATAAGAATCAGACCAACAGGTCTGTACTTTCCTATCTCAGAATCAACAGTGGCAGTATCTCAGAATCAATGCAGTATAAGGTTTGCCTGACCCTGCCCTCCAACACTGCATTTTGCAGTGATACATCTGTATACTTCTGATTTCAAGATTATCACAGAGCACAGACATGAATAAGCCAACAGCAACCTTCAGTGTTTTAAATGGATGACATTTTTTTCCTACCTGAGAAAGTCCTAGATTACATAAGCTTGTCACATGCTCTAGCTAAAACATACAGTTAATCAAGTACTTCAGCTCACTTTTATCGTAAAGCGAAGTGCTCATGTTGCAATCATTTTATTTAGATACCTGCAGACCTGAATGTACTTGCTTAATGCACAAGACTAATTCAAACAGGTGTTTATATACCACAGTGCATAGATGTTAAAAAAAAAATAATCTCAGCTTTATTTTAAGTCACTGTTTACTGACCTCTTTGGCTAGGAGACTGCATAATAATTTGTACCACTTTTCGTAGACAGAGTAACTTCTGTTGAGGGGAAGTACATTTGTTCAGCTGACTCAGTTCTCGCTTCGCACGTGGTATATTAAAACTACAAAATAATTTGAAAGAAATTGTCAACATACACCAGAGCTTCTGTGCAGGACACCCAAAATCCAAGTCTGAACTTATCCAGAGCGGAAATGAAGAATGGTATTAACTCATTTCTATCTCTACCCTACACTTGCGTTTCTGTGCCTTGTAGATGGAATGGGAGGCATAAAACCCCAAAAGTAAAGAAGTTCAATGAAACAACTGCCTTAAAATGATACAATTTTTCTATCTCAAAGGAATGAAGCATAATAAAAACTTACTGTTGCCTGAAGGATAACTTTTTGGCCTGCCAGAAAGCTATTTGAGACAGGATCTCAGTGACTGCTCAAAAACTAACACTCACCTAAACTCGGGTTTTACTCCAATGTCTTTTTGCTGGAGCTCTTGAAGGCTTCTTGTGATTTTGTTAAAAGCAGCATCCTAATCATAAGAAAGGTAATAAGTGTTTAAAGTGCATTGGATTAATGTAATTGATCTTCAGCAATCAAACAAACTTACCTCACTTGCCTCAATAGTCCCCACATATTTAAAGACTAGATCATAAATAGCATGGTGGACATACATCTGTTGGAAAAAAAAAAAAACAAACAGTAACTTAGACATGAAAGGAAAGGAAAAGCTAAAATTGCTTGCCAATTGTCTTCCTTCATTTCAGATGCTTACTTCAACTGCTTGTTTAATCAGATTCATCTGCTCTTCTTGCTTCGCAAGCATCTTCTAAAAAAGGAACAGCCACATAAACAGCAAGAGAGTTAAATGATTTATTGCTTAAGTAAAGCAACATACTATGTATTTAGTGATGTGTTTACCAAGTGTGAATCTCTCAGAAGATGCTGGAGACATTTGGTATAAAGTGCACTGACAGAATCCTAGAAGGGAAAAGAAAAAGTAGATCTGCGTTAATGATATGAAGCAACAAAGCATAAAAGAGCAAAGAAAGGAGAGCTTCTCTGACTTAGAAGTATACAGTATCAACAAAAGCAAAGTAAGATCTTTAGCTAAAAGCTGTATTTACATAACAATCAAGATGCAGTCATTCACAGTTACAAATTCTTTTCTCCCTCCCTACCTTCCTCCCTGGACTATTCTGACATAGAACATCTTAACAGGAAAAGATACCCAAAGCAGTGAAGTGAATTATGTTTAGTAAATTAAGCATCAAGCAGCAAGATACTGACTATGTAGTGGCGGAGGCTTTTCCGTTCGTGCTCTTTAAATGTTCGGTAGAAAGATCCTATGTATTTATCAAATCTCTCACAGTGCCTTCCCAAGAATTCTCTAACATCTTCAATATTTTTCAGAGAATAAAGATTTGATGAAGCTGTAGATTCATCTAAAAATGAAACCCAAGAGTTAACACATTGAATACACATGCACAGTAAAGCTCTTTCTTGTTCCAGATATCAAGCCAACTTGTGTATGATGAAACATTAATTCAGCTTACCGTGCTTCTAAACGAAGGTGTTGCTTTCAATTATGAAAAGATATTGCAGTTAAATAGCCACACTTAAAGCCAGCTCTCTTACCTTTTATGTCAAGGATCTGTTTGGAATAGCTAAAAACTGATTCTGCATGCTCCTTTCCTCTGGGGTAATTTATTGCTGCTCATAACTTGAGCGTGAGACAGGCATGAAATTTAAGAAAAGCATATTACAGTACTGAGTGCAGGAAGATAGTGTGCTCTAAACAAGCTGTAAAAAATAAAACACCCACATCCTGAACTTCTACATAGTCTATTTAATAGCCTATTATTATAGGCACCCTTTCTTCTGAATGAGGGCAAAGTCGCATCAAGTAAATGTTGAACCAAATCCACTTTTCTTCTAAATAATACAGTTTGATCGCTTGTCTCAAATTCATATATTTATATATAGCTTTTCCAAGAAAATTCCTCTAGGCAAGGCCTTCATCTGCACTCAAAAGGCAACTAATAGCAGGCTCAGATCTTATTCATTTCAAATTACTTAGAAATTACAAGTCACCTCACTTCTGAAAGTCACCTCACTTCTGCTGTATAACTAATAGCTAAAAGCTGAAGAATAGATTTTATGCATATAGTCACAGTTTGAGTCTGTATGTATTTCAGCTATTTTATTTCCAGCATAATGTCCACACTACTCACAGTACTATTTTCACATTTGCCCCGTACCATTTTGTCATTTGTTTACATTCTTACTTGTTTAAAAAGATGGGATGCTTTTAATTCAGAAAAGCATACACGTCAAGTAGCTTCAGTTACTTACTTGGTACAAAATTTCATAAGGAAATTCTGTTACATTCACAGCTTGAGTAGCAGCCTTGGAAAGAGCATTCTAGCCTCATCAAGAGGCTTTTCCAACATTAGGAAAAAAAGAATACATTAAATGAAATATGACAGATTACCTCCAAGTGAGCTGCTATGTAGCTATGCTACACAGCCTTTAAACACTAATGAAGTCACTATGAATCTACCACAATCCAATTTTGTACATCCACGGTGCATCTGAAGACAGGTGTGATTAAAGAGATTAAATTCTACCTTTAAACAGCCAACACTGACACTGAACTTTGCTTAAAAAAAAAAAAAAAAAAAAAAATCAAGCTGTATCAAGTACTCCATAATTCTTTACCATGGAGACTGGGACACAAGTCCTATAAAAATAAAGTTTGGCTGGCACCAACTTAATGCTTTTACAGCAACATACTAACATCCACACCACCATATCAGTAAACACTGAGAGCTTCAGTCAACTCGGCACTTTTCAGAATGAATAAAGCACATTAAATAAAGATAATGATTGGCTTGTGTGCAAACAAGGCCAACTGTTATCACTGAAATACCTACTTGAGCATTCTGTTTTTTCCAGTGGATGAGCTATACACAAAATACTAAAGCTCTCTTCTTTTTCATTGTAAAATGTTTCCTCAAAAAGAACAGGTACCGAGAGATGATCGTCAAAACCAGTTCCTAAGATGACAAGATTTCCTTGTATGAAGATCTCCTGGGGAAAAAAAAAAAAGTGGAAAATTTCCAAAAAAACACAATTACCCTGACTTCTGCACTGCATAGTTGTATCTCCAGGGAAAAAAGAGAATCTTGCAATATGGAAAAATCACAGACTCCATATTTTTCATATTCTAATGCTGTGTAGGCTGAAACAGGGATTCCTGCAGTTTACAACAGATAGCTGAATCTTGCTTGTACTCACTTTCCTTACAAGCCCCCTACTAAAGAAGCTTTGGAGAATATCTGAAACCAAGTAACTATTTGCAAGCTTTCAAGCACTTTTAGCAAAAGGGAATTAAAAAAAAAAAAAAAAGCAATTTATATTTGTTGTCTAGAGTTCACCTTAGTAAGACATCATCCAACCTGGATATGTTTCTCATGCTCAGCTTTATCTCCTAAAGAATTCCTGTGTGAACACCTACAGTAGGAATACCTCAATGACTGCCTGCAAATAGGTGCAAAATCTCAGACTGTATTGCAAAAATGGCAAGCAGAAAAGAAAAAAATTCTTCTTAAACCTATGCAGCATTAGCATTGGTTATAATGGCTTTGCATTAGTTACTAAATCAGGCCTCAGATACTACTTAGTATTATCTTAATTGTCTTAACCCTTGATGAACTTGCATCTGCGTACAATACAGGCAGCATGAAATCTAAAGATGTAGTTAAGTGAAAATGGCCCTTACACCAGGCAACAAGATTCCTAACAGCAAAAAATGCAGAGAACCCATTTACACAGTCAAAAATTCCATAACTAAAAAACACAGATAAGCTTGGCAGTTACTTCACTGAACTAGTAAACTGAAAATCGGAGTCAGAGGCATCCAAATAGGACAACCATTCGAGCCTATACCAAACAGTTTTCACTAGAAAGCAACGTATCCTGGAGAACAGAGTCTTAAATGAGTGACACTTATTTTGGCAGTTAGTGCTAACTCTTTGCTTGCTCCTGTAACCACCCTTAGTTCAGCTGGTTACCGACTGCAGGAGTCATTTACCAGTGTCCCCAAGATACCAAAACGGAAATACCTTTCCATTTAAGGTCTGAAAATTTTCTTCTAGTGGCTTCAGTACATAACATTCAAACTGGCAGTTGGAAAGACAGTTGCTTGAAAGGCTTCCTTTGCATGGAACTAATACCTAAAATAGAGTTAGATCACAATTTGGAGATAAATACAGTAAATCACCAGTTAAATTCTGATTGCTTTTGCCTTTCACACTACAATAGATTGGCAGATAAAGACAAATTCTTGACTAGTAAGCAAGATTCATTTTAATATCTGTTTACACAATGCTAATCTAATTTTCAGTTTGTTCTGATGTCAAGAAGCTCAAACTTCCACTGTTAATCCAAAAGGAATTTTGAGTTTCTTCTTTTAATTAAGTTATCCTCCATTCAGACTATATTTTCTCAAAGCAAGTTCAGTCATTTGGAGTAAAGCAGTGGATGAGCACTTTCAAGTTACAGTAAATCACTATTCAATGAGGAAAAATTATGAACAAAGTGTGAGATCTCATTCAATACCAGGAACTCTATACACACTGAAAATACATTTCATGGTCAAGAAATAGCATCTTCAAATTGCTTCTGCTCTTAAAATGACATCCCTCCTTCTCCAGAAGCAGCAGTACAACTCAATATGAATACTTTTATCCTGGAAACGTAGAGTTGTTCCTTTAACAGCTCCAGAACCACCAGTATAAGAGATCAGACTTAAGAACAGAAAGAAAATTTTAAATGTTCCTGAGTTCTGGAAATATTTGACAGATTCTTGCCTTCACAAGCAGCATTCAACTGCTCATTGATTCTCCAATAATCCTCTGAGACTGTACAGATATTTACTAAACTTTAATATATACAGATATTTCTTTAAAGATACGCTTTTAATCCCACATAAGATCACAGAGATATCAATACATACTAGAAGCCAGCAAGTTCATGCAAGCGTGCAGTACAGTTAATGCAAAGAATTAAGGATAAGATTAAGGTAAGGATGCCAATGATATTAGGCGTCAGAATACAGAAATGCTAAAATCTGTTCACTAATCATATCACTATCATAAGTAATAAGTAATAGAAAGAACCCTGTCCAATTAAAGCTTAATTTTATAATCCAATAGAAATAAGCTGAGTTTAATGGAATCTCCACACACTTAATTTTATATCAACACTTACAGCAAGATACTCAAACTGGAAGTTTTAAAGAATTGCAGTTTTTTGTTCTAACTCATTTTAATGTCTTTGATTTGCTATATAAAATTGTCAAAAATAAGTGATTGTCCACCAGGGATTTCAAGAAGCCAATCCTAATTTAAATCACAAGTGCAAGAATATACAACTAGTTGGTATCAAAGAAAATAAGTTTCCTGTGAAGGTTAGAAGTTATCACTTCCATCTGTTACTACTGTGCAGTTACCAAGAGATCCGTGTTTGCAGACAAAACATTTTGCAGGCTTGTACTGATCTTCATGAGTCTTAGGAAGCCTGGAATTTAAATAAAAATTTGCTGCTATTTAATAAGTTATTTTAGAATACACTTATTTATACTCACAATACCATGGAGTTCTGCAACTTTGCTGCAGAGATCAGGACGTCGCTTCTGAATGGCCAAATAAAAGGGATTTTTCAAAAGGTCTTCATCATACATAGCCATATGGACTTCAGATACCCAAAGGAGATTTTCTAGAAAACATATGGAGAATGGTTAAAGCATAGTACATGTATCTGTGAATGTACAATATTGCAAAATACCAAAGGGGCAAAAAGAAAGAAGTATCTTCAGATATTGGATGTGAGCTGTCAATGTCATGCTTAATTAACTAGAAATTAAGTGTAGTCAAACAAAAGTTACTCAGAAAGAACTATGTGCAAACAAAACAACACATTTCCTGTTACACATGTACCCTCATAAGGTCTCCTTTGCCCTTTAAGTGCATGATCTTCTGGGGAAAAAAATAATGGAAGAAGATAGATATTAAGATCTACATTATAACCACTCTGATAGACAAGCTAAGGTCTAACACAAAACAGAAGATTGGAATTAAAAGCTTCTTCACAGCAGATTCTACAACGCTTCAGGACATTGATGCTTTCACAGTAAGCTTAGCTAAGTGACAATTACTGATGTACACATCAGTGAGACACTCAGACAATGTAACAGGAATCCTTGTGTAATGTAATCCCCGACTTTCCAGGGAAAGTTTCAGGAAAGGTACAAGAAGCAGGTATGTATAACCAAGTCGTAATTAAAAAGACACCAATGAAATCCAATATTTGTGGTAACCTCTACTTCCATTAAAAAGGTGTCAATCATCTGAAGTCAGACTGACAACATCTGGAAAAAAGCAAGCAGAAAAGCTACCAGAGACAGAAATCCAACTGCTAGACAGTGGAGAGTTATCACAAGGTGCGTCACAGGGAAAAGAGGATTTCCAGAGACACTAAACTCTCAGTTTAAAAGGCCTCTGTACTTTTAAATCTCTAGACACAAGGACATGAAAAACCCTAATAGGACCTTTCTAGACTAACTTCAGCATTGTTTCATTCAGAAGAACAAAGGTTAATAAGTTTACAAGGGCTTAATTAAGTAGACTGTCATATCTTTTCCCCTCATCCAGATTCCTCAAGGAAACTAGAAACGTAAGTCACATTATTCCTCCTGCAATTTCATCTGTATGTACCAGGAAAAGGTAAGAAGAGCAGCAGCAGATCAATTTGAACCAAGCCATCCTTACACAATTAGCATTTCCAGGTTGGAAATGCCCATATCGGGATGGGGCTCTGGGCAGCCTGGTCTAGTTTAGAATATGGAGGTTAGTATCCCAACTTTTACTCAGCACATCACTTGCTCAGTGTGAGCTTCTGATGCTTATCATGTAGTACTTGAAATACTGAGCTACAGTAGTGCTGTACTGGTGCCACAAACACATCCTTCTCCACAGACTGGCAAAGAGACATGAAACCACTATGTTACAGTATAGAAGGATGGAAAAATACATTCCCAATTTGCACAGATTTTTAAACAGTCCTTTAGTTTCAGCTATGCTGTTAACTGATCTATTGTCTGTTACCTGATCTATGTATTATCTGGTCCTTCCTTATAATTAGGCATAAGGAGAACTCAACACAAACACAATCAATTAAGCCTGAAAGCCATTCCCACTATAAAGTTATCAGCAGTTTCTTGCAGCCTGGATTGCCTCTGCATGAGCCACTCAAGACATCTAAGGCAGTGGCAGGTAACTGTCTCCAGCAGTTCTTTCTCATGAAACTCCAGATAAAACGGTTCATCCACTTTCCAAAAGGACAAAAAATAATATCTATTATGAAAGGACATCAATTTGGCTGTGCCAGCACTAAGACAGGACTTACCAAGCAGGACTAATTACCTATTAACTGCCTATGAACAGCCAGCTAAGCATTAATTCCAGTAAGATCTTAAATGACTTAGAGCTCACAGTTCAAACATGTTTCAACATCAACTTATTAGATAGAAGGCAAATGTCATAGAGGGCTGTATGAGCACATGCAGCAAGCAAAATCATCAGCCACAGCAAAGCTTATTTTGGAGCCCCTTATTCCTTTTTGGGGGCTACTCTTCAGGGAAGATGAAATTGACTGAAGAATCTTAAGTGAGAAAGGCAGAAAAGGAGGATGTAGGACACAGTGCAGTGCAGTGATACTAGTTAAGGTAAAGAAACTGCATGAGATAAGTAAGAAAATCCCCCAGATGTACCACAGTCTCAGCAAGGGCATTTTGTTCCACATCTCTAGAAGAAGAAACAGGCCTCAGCTTAGGTAAAGAGAGTCAGGTTACAGATCAGGAACAACTTAAAAAAAAAAAAAAAAAAACCACATGTTTTAGATCACTTGTCAAAGCTATCAAGTCTCCAATACCGTAAATCTTTAAGAACCTGTTAGACAAACCTCTACTAGAAGTGATACAGACCCAGCCTTCTAGCCTCACTAGATTATACGATCTCCCAGGACAGTTTCCAAAACAAGCTTCTACTGAAGTAGATGGCCCACCAAAGCATCTTCACCTGCCTTTTTGTTTGTGAATCCACATTCACTATCCAGTCAACTGATAGATGAGAATGCTGTGACTCTCCACACAGTATGTAAGAAAGTATTAGGATGCCAGGTGCTGGGCAGTGGTGAGATGAGCCAAGAGCACACTAACACAAGAAGGCAACTAAGCATCAGACTGCAGAGACAAAAATGCAGTGCACTTGTGTTTCTAATTGCTATATTATCCCTTTTTCAGCTTAATGAATCTAAGTCCAAAGAATTTTTTCCCATAGTAGAAAAGAGAGGAAAGAACACATTCCACAGACCTCCTTTCTCCAGAAACCTGCATCTCAAAGAAGTGAGAAGCTCTGCCTACAGGAAATTAACAATATTTAATACCCTAGCAAAACAGATAGAAGGGATGTATTGGAGGGGAAAAGCCCCCTAGAAAACCTTAGCTTATGAAATTTGCTGTTTGACTGATGCAGCTCTTAAGTCATCGCCTTCACATAATTAAAAAAAAATCAGGGTACTGTAAGAACTGTTTCAGTTAACAGATCAACCCACTAAGTTTGAAACAACAACCTACAGATCTGGTTCATGCGTTACCACACAGAGCCAGGCATTCTGTTTACTACAGAACTACTGACTGCAGCAATAATTCATACTTCTTAAGTTCAAAAAAAGTGACAAGAATCTGCATTAATTCTACCATTTTAGCTACTGCAGTACAACTAAGATGCTGTCAACATGCTAAAACCCTAATAAGGAAGCTTTAACTTTTAGTTCATGGAAGAGTTTGCCACTCACCTTGAGCAGAAGCAGGCTGAAGACTCTAATCTGCTAGCTGGGCACATAAAGCTGCAACCAAGTCCCTGCACAGCAGGAAGTAGCAACCAGTAGTCAAATGAGTACTGTTTTGAAAATGGATTCTCAATTTCCTTCTCTTTTCTCAACACCTTTCTCTTAGCCCTGCATCTGCACACTGCTCCATTAGTGGATGGCTACCATATCTGATTATTGTGTGGGCATGCAAAAGAAAGAATGAAATGTTCATTAAATTAACTGAAGCAGTTAATCAACTACATTTGCCCAGACAAATGGGGATGTTTTGGCCATGTAGTATTAGTAACTACAACAAAGCCAAGTCCTTCACACTACGCTTCTACAAATCAAGTCTAAGAAAACTGAAGAATACATTAAAGATCCCCCAAATTTTGTCTCAAGCATTTTTGAGACAAGTCAATTTCTTTCCATCTCAAAAGTTAAGTGCATCTGAACATAACAGCTAATGCACTGCAGTAATTCTAAGAATGCATTAGAATATTCCATTGAGAATTTGTTGGCAGAACACAACATCCAACTTTAATCTAATGGAACTAAAGGGGCAGGTGGTGGAGTTATTCCTCTAGTTGCACCTCAGACAGCTTTAGATTTACTAACATTACACAAGCAGGAAAAAGCACAAAGTCACGTAAGTATTGAACAGAGCTGATAACATATAACTGAAAGCCCATTAAAAATTTTCATAAGCCACATTCACTGAGTTTATTAAATTCCATTATGCTAAGCTGTAAAGCAACACAAGTACTACTTTCAAAATGTTAAAATGGAATTACTTAGCTTCACGCCTGTAAACACAGAAATAGCTCTGACTGCTGGAAGAACAGAAGCCAGCTCATCAGAGAATCCAATAAGCATTTTGTTACCCTGTACAAAAAAAAACCCCACCAACATAATCATACCCTTAGAACAGCCAAGTCCTTTGTAGATTAAGAACAGAGTGATAGTTCTAATGAGACATCTTGCACCAGGAACAGCTGAAGTGAAAAGCCATGCAATAGAATCCAAGCATGTCAGTTTTTTCCAAAGGAGTGGAAACCAAGTCCTATGACCTTTGGTACTGAAAGCAATAAGCAGGATTTAGCTATGAAAGTTTTTGTCCTAAGATTTTCCTTTAGAGATACTGAAATCAGGTGCTTTTCACAGTCCTGTTCATTTCCAGCTCTTTTTAAGGAACATTTTGAAATAGTCATTAAAATAGATGCCACTGCTTTTACCTGACAGCTACATTGTGTCCCCATTCTAAAAATTTTTATTCAGTTCTTAAGTATACCACCTGAATACCCCATTTTAATATTGAAGACCTAATGAGATGTACTACAGATAGCCTTTCACAATAGCACAAAGGATTCTGTATAGAAATACTTCATATTCCATGGTGAAGAGCACAAGACTGACTCGTTCATTTCACACACTGACATCAATTTCATCTCCACTTGCAGACTCTTGTACAACATTAACAACTCCAGCTTAGTAAACCAGTAACTAGAATATCACTTGCTGAAAAGCTCGAAAGGATGACAGAAGTCAGATCAAGCAATACCTTACTACTCACCTACAAGTTGTTCATCTCAGAACAGCTAAACATTATACTGAGACATTTCTGGTCAAATTTGTAAGTGTATTTATCACACCAGTGAACTGTAGTGCAGAAAGAAATCTGGATGAAACAATTGTTCCCCAGTTCCAAATGACTTTTCAAACACAGTGGGATCCCCCTTCACCACCACCACCACCACCTCCTCCTCTCCCCTCCTCCCCCCCCCCAAAAAAAAAATATTATCAGAGCACCGCTTTTAGCAGTATACTGGATCTGAGCATATCTTAAAGCACCCTGCAAACACAAATTTAACAGTGGGACTTAAGTAGGTTCAGTCCAAATACAACTAGTTACCTACAGTAACTACAGTTTTATTTGCAGTATTACTCCTCGTATTTACACCACTTGAGGCTAAAAGTCCCAGTTTGAACTGGAGACCTCAAATCGACATTTTCATCATGAAGCAAAAACCTCCTGTTTCTGGGCACACAGAAAAACTCTCAGTCCTAATGAATGAGCACTGAGCATCTGATGAACTATGGCTCCAAGACATGTTTCAGTTCCCTGCTCACCACAAGGGAAAGATAAAGAGGAAACTATTTCTACCTTTTACATTCAGCTGCAGCTTATAGTGATTTCAGTGATTTTAGTGAGTATATCAGAATATCACCTTTGAATTATCAGAGTATTGAGTAGTGAATCTGCATCAGTCAGCTCAAGGCTCCCTAGAAACCAGGGGAAAACTTAAGTTATATCATCCCAGAATGAGTCTGACAGTGATGCAGCAGGTTCTGGGAAGGAGAGGTCAATGCCATTCCAGGAAGATGCTCCTTTTTCAACAGCATCTCCCCTGCAGTCACATTCCTTCAAGTGAAGGGTACAGAGCTCAGATCTTTGTGTGCAGTGTTTGGTTTTTTGTTTGTTTGGGTTTTGCAGGGTGGGGGGCATCTCTGCACATCCCTCTCCACACAGATCCCACTTCTCTATTTAGGGTCAGACAGCTGTCTCTCATCACTTTTCTCAGCATCATGCTGTGCCCTAAGGCATTGCACAATGCCTGACAGGAGTAGGCAGTGCCATGTAAGTGTGTTCTGCTCATCCCTCACACTGCTTTCCATTATGAGCCCCCCAAAAAACTCCAAACCAGAGCTCATTCTTAAAAAGAACATTCAACCTTTCTAATTTAAGTGCATTCATATTATAGTTTGATGCTAAAACATTCACATTTCCCCCAGACTTGAGGCCTGACTCCCACCAGCCACCTGATCAGCACTCTATGAACAGGATGCTGTCTGTTCTCACCCAGTCACCTCCCCTGACTTCAGAGATCAGTGCTCTTGGCATTAGCCAGGTACTTACAACAAGCTGCATTCCAAACAACCCAAGAGAGTATGGATTCCCAACCCTTGCAGATTTAAAAATATACTGAGTAGCTGCAAATTCCTCACCTGCGTTTGTTCTCTAGCTTACCATTACTAAGACTGAACTCAAATCTCAAATTGGGAATCCTGAGCAAGTTACAAGCAAACTGTGAAGGAAGAGAGCAGAAAAGGCTATCAGTAGAAACACAAAGATTAAAGAGAACAAACATTAACAGAATGGACAAAGTCCTCACCATCTGCTCAATGCATTTACATAAGGTCACCTCTGCAGTCTTGCAGAGGTATCAGCATATGAATTCACAGCGGACTGACCACACAAAAACACACCAAAACTAAGGTGCTGAAGTACAAGGATAAAAGTTGTTTTCTTAAGCCAATTATGGTGATCCTTCACTCACAGAGACAAAGCAGTGGTAGAATCCTTAGTTTATGCATTGGGCCCAAACACTAAAATGGATGCATAAACACTGTGTCCCGATTATAGAGTCACAGACCACTCATGTTCATAGCAGACCATATCTGCTTTCTGCATATCTCAGTAGGAAAAACCAAGTTGCTGCAGGCCAAGACTAGCTTTGTCTCATTGATGCTAAGAGCTTAAACATCCGCCCATTAATAGATTATCTAGTTATGGGAAGTATTGCTGAACTACATTAGATATCCCTTTTGAGGAGCAGAGAGGAAGGAAGGCGGGAGCACTTGCACAGGAGAAGTCCTTCCAACTAGAACAGCAAACAATTATAAGCACTGCTGGCCTTTAATACCACATTGGGCATCATACATTGGCCCAAGGTAACTGAAAGCCATGCAACAACAAGTCCACAATAAACTTATCAGACCGATGATCCTCCACGATAGAAGTCACAGAATGGCCTGGGTTGGAAGGGACCTCAAGGATCAGTGAATCTCCAACCCCCTGCCATACGCAGGGCCACCAAGCTCCACATTCAATACTAGACCAGGTTGCCCAGGGCCCCATCCAATCTGGCCTTGAACACCTCCAGGGACGAGGCATCCACAACCTCTCTTGACAGCCTGTTCCAGCACCTCACCACTCTCTCAGTAAGGAACTTCCACTTGACATTCAACCTAAATCTTCCCTCCCTCAACTTAAAACCATTTCCCCTTGTGCTGCTGTTATCTACCCTTTCAAAGAGTTGATTCCCCTCTTGTTGATAGGCTCCCTTTAGATACTGAAAGGTCACCCCACAGCCTTCTTTTCTCCAGGCCAAACAAGCCCAGCTCCTTCAGCCTGTCTTTGTAGGGGAGGTGCTCCAGCCCCATGATCATCTTTGTGGAAATGATATGGAAATGAAAATTCTCGCTCTGGATCAACATTTCAAGACACTTTACAACAAAACGTTCACAAAACGCAAGCCAGGAGTTATCTATACAAAGCTACACTGAGTTATCACACACTCAACCAGTTTTGTTCACACTGCATCCTATCCTTATGTTCTGTCCTCATCTCAGTGGTTTTCAACCATCTCAGGTCACAGCATTCGGATGCCTGAACTCAGAGTATGAGGTCATCCCAGAGGCGAAGCCATGAGGCAAGATTTACCAACCATTCAAACAAAACAGATTTGTATTTACCTAAAATACCACTTAAGTCTATTAAAATGATACAGGACTTAACAAGCACTAATGCTCAAGAAGCAGCAGAGTATCTGCTGTTTCAAAGTACTGCAACATGAAGAACACTATCATAAACACCTGTTGGAAGGAAGCCTTTCTACAGAACCAGCAAATACATTTCTGCTGGCACTCATCACATTACATACTAACTCCCTTGTAATTTCAGGGTTCGGCTTTTTTTGGATAAAGTTTTTGGATAAAGTTTCAGCTAGTCAGAATCTTCTTTGAAAGCATTATCATGACTTGGATTTAACAGCATCATGTCTGATAAGCTACAGCCAAATTTTAAGAGTTTTCAGAATCTACTTGAATAAGATAACTGCAACACAACTGAACTTAATTTAGAGCTGTTCTGCAGAGCAGCCTTTCTTCACACATGATATATCTAGAGAAGTTTTGTTTGTTTGTTTTTTTTTACAGATTGTAACTGCTGCCACCTTCAGATTTATGCAGTCACATGCTCCTAAACCAACATCCCTTCCCCTTCTCAGCTATGCCTGGATTTCAGAGAAACTGATCCTGACACGCCACAAGGAATAGCAGCCTCAGTAAGGTGCAGCAGTGCAGCTGCTGCCCACATGGATGTGTAATTTAGGATTAAGCTTAAGTCACACAGGACTCCAGATTGAAACCTAGAGCTAATCCTTCTACCACATGACAATACTTAAACAGTTACAAAACTTCATATACAAGGTCAAAAGCATCTTGTGCTTCTTCATTCCAGCAAGGAACAGATCATTCACATCTTGCCTGCCACTGGCAGGGAGTTACCTAGTAGCCCCACAATGACCCCACAGCCTGCTGCAGGACTTGGCAGCTGGTTTCTTCCACAGGTGCACATGGGTGCAGCAGTAGCCACACGCAACTTGTGGCCTGGTCCAACAGAAAAGCAGAACAAAAAGCAGTCAGGGGAGCACAGGATCAAACTCCCCATGTAACTGAATAATAGAAAAGGAACACAGCCTCAACACACCTCCCAGAACCTGGCCTGCCCAGAGCCTGCCCAGGGCAGCACCTTATCTTGCCCATGGCGCAGAATGCAGCCACAATAAGGGACAGGGTCACAACCCCCCTCTTGAAGGATGTTTTCACTTCTCATAAATTACTGTAGCAACATCAAATCATACAGTTGTCCAGGAGCATAAAGGCATATGTAGCGGTGTGTGGCATGACAAGCAAGTTCTCCAGAAGCCTGCCATGGTGAAACATGTGTTAAGAGACAGCAAGCACAGCCTGCTACGCAGCACTCAGCGTCAGTGTTATCTGTTCTTCTGGAAGACACAGGCATGTGTACAAACATAGCCTACAGCTCATCACTGACTACACCATATTTCAGAACATACACAAGGGCAGCCACTAAAGTATCATTTTTTATAGTAAAAAGCTTGTGTTTGCTACACCTTCTGACGCATAATTACTTGATTTCAACTATCCTTAGACATTTTGGGCCCCATACTCACACTTCCTAGGGGCCTTCTTCAATAATCCACTGAGTAAAAACATGCAAATTCTTGCCCCCGAGAAACGAGCTGAAGCGACACTGATATACAGAAAGCGTGCATCACAGAGCCCGGTAGGAACCAGAGTGCACTCCTCTGATATAAATAATGCACGTACCGGGGTGAGAAAAAGTTCAGCAGTGCATTAAGCGCTCCCGACGCTGCGTAGCGCGGGCAGCGGGTCTACCGCGGGTGGCAGCGGGACCGCGGGCACCAGCAGCCCCGCGCCACGGGCCGGACGCCGCCAGAGCCAGAGTTGCCAACGCGGCGGGGAGCACGGCGCGGGGAGCGCAGCGCCGCAACCCCAGCAGGGCCGCCCCAAGGCCCCACCAGCTCCGCGTCAGCCCCAGCCCGGGAACAGGCCGCGGCCGGCACCTCCCCTCTCGCAGCGCGGCTCACAGGCAGCGACACAGCCGTTCCGGCTGAGGAGGGGACGGGAGGGCACCGCTGGGACCGGCCCCGCGGAAAGAGACCAGCGGGCTGCGGGAGGAAGAGAGGGAACGGAGGAGTGAGAGAGCGCCCTCGCCCCGCCAACGCCGCCCCCCCTAACCGCCCCGCGCCTCGGCCGAGCCCTACCGGGAACCAGGGCGGGCCGGCGCGGCGCCGCACGAAGCCAATGGCCGGGCAGCGGCGGGAAGCGAACGAGGAAGCGGGCGGCCGCCGGGGGTCGGAACCTGCGGGGGCGGAGCCTGCGAGGGCTTATAGGGCCGGCCCGGGCCGCGCCCGGAGGCCGCGGGCGCTCCCCGCTCGGCGCCATGTGATCGCGCTGGACCCGGCTCAGCCGGATCGGGTTCGTGCAGACGGCGGGCGGGGGGAGCCGCCGTTCTCCAGAGCCAGCGCTTTAGCTTTTGGGTTTGTTTTCGCCCCGTGTTTGGCACTCGTCAAAGTACGGGGCCCGATAGGCGGACGCCCGGCGCTCTGCGGGATGGCTCGCCTCGGTCGTGCTGCCCGCCGGCGGTAGCAGGGGAAGCGATGCTGCCCGCGCCCCGCGAGCCCGGAGCGGCCGGCGCCGCCTGAGGGGCTGCGGGGCGGGCGCGACCCGGGGCTGCCTCCCGCCATGCGTGCTGGTAGCGGCTGCGCTGGGCAGCTCCTCGCTCCCGAGGCCGGGTAACCGCGGCGGAGGCGCCCGGACGGCGGGACCATGGTGAAGGAGGAGTGCAAGGCGTTGCTGGACGCGCTCAGCAGGGTGACCGCCTGCTACCGGCACATGGTGCTGACCATCGGCGGCACCTCGGACTCGCAGAACCTGCGCGAGGAGTTGAAGAAGACCCGGCAGAAAGCCCAGGAGCTGGCGGTGGCTAACAGGAACAAGCTGACCACGGTGCTGAGGGACAAAACCGTGAGTAAGGAGGACAAAGCCGAGTTCGAGAGACTATGGGTGATTTTCTCCACGTGCCTAGAGATCCTGGAGATCGACATGAGGAGAGCGCTGGAGCTGGGGCACGAATTCCCGCTGAACGTCCCCAAAAAGCACCTGATCCAGACGGGCATGAGCGGGGGCACCTCCGGCGTGGCTGCCCGGGCCATGAGCGTCCAGAACATGAAGTACGAGGCTGAGCACAACATAGATGTGGTGGATCTGAAGGACCTAGAGAACGAAATCAACCAGGTAGGAGAAATGATGTACGAGATGGAAATGAAGGTCAATGTCCCCCAGTGGACAGTAGAGGCTAAGCAAGACCCTGGGGCTGAACTCAAATCCACCATCAGCGTGGGCGCTTCTTCCATTGGCATGATCTCTGTGGAGGAAAATAAATCCTTCTGCGATATCAGCAAAGTTCTGGCTGGGATTATTTTCTCTGCTGTTCTCATTATTGCTATCGTGCTGGCAGTGTGTGTGGTAAAACTCTCATAAACTGTGCTGGCACTGGAGAGCTCTCACAGGGCCTCCCGAAAGTGCTTCGTGCCACGCGTCTCTTGTTACTTGGGTGCACTGAGAATCTAAACCTAGCACTTGGAAACGAAAAACTTTTGCCTCTCTAAATCCTGAAATGCACAGTTCCTTTCATGCTTTTTGAAGAAAAAGATGCAAATCAGCCTGCAAACTAGGATGTATTCATTAGCTGGACTTGTAAGGGTTAACTGTGAAGTATTGAGGGTATTATCACTACTGGCTATAACAGCGATTTGTCTGCTATTAATAGATCATCACTCTCAGAAGCCTGCATTTTTTGTTCTTGAACAGGCTCTGCAGTTTGCTGCTGCTCACTGTTTACAATATTTCTGACTGACACGAATTTGGAGGCCAACACAGGTGTTTTGCATGACAGTGAATAGAATAGATTGAGAATTTTTTCAGCAATATGCAAGATATTATTTCAGTGGAGGAAAAAGGGAAGAATGGACGCACCAATAAGGGAATGTAAATGTCTATATCAACAAAGGTTAATGATCAGGGAAAGGGGAAGTGTGGAGGAGAACAAAGAAAACTAGCAATATTCAGCAAGTACAGTTTGTAGCTTTAGACTGGGTTGCATAGAAGCCAGCGACCAGGGTTGGCACAGCACATATTGATGGCTTTCCACATCCTGAGAGAGAAAAGGGAGAGCTGCGTAGTCAGAAAAATGCTAGCAAGCCCTGTGGTTTTCTTCCACGTTAACCATGATCTTGTCTCCCCCTGCAGAAAGGCTGATTCTTGTCACTGGTTCAGATTCTTTCTGTAGATGCAATCTGTCTGAACTTCTCAATTAACTATGAGATGAGGAGCAGTGAATCCACCTACAACAGATGCAATAATTTTTGACAATAGTTTGGCAAACAGCAGTGATGCATTGTGAAAGCAGACCTTTCTAGTCATCTTGAAAGAGATCCTCTCTCATGTTGACAGGCAGAGACTTTGGCCTCTTGACATACAAACTCCTGAGGTCTTTGCAGAAATCCAGATAAAGCTAAAAAAAAATCTGTTTCATCTCTCATTCATTTCTGAGAAATCATCTGGGAAAGAGGAAGTCCGTGGTACTGGACACATATCTGGTCCAATTGGATACCCTGCAGTTTGGGAGGATAAAAGCAAGAGCAGCAGAAAACTTTCCCAGCATTTACCTAAAAATTGCCTGTTTAAATGTAGAACTGAGGGGACATTAACTTTGCAGAGAAGCACTGTTATGTCTTGTAAAAGGACTCACGTGTTAATGTTCTTCATTATGTAGCTTATGGAGATTTGTTCTGTTCATGTAAATACACGCCATTCATTCAAGAATGCTTAGTGCAGACATTATAGTGCATATGAGACACTCCACAGGGAGTTATAGAGACCCGATCACATGGGGGTTTTAATACATAATTAGTCTGCCACACCAATTACTATGGACACATTATCAAAAGGTAATAATCAGATACGTCTGGTGAAGTTACTAGAAAATAATCTTTGTGAACAGAAGTACGTTACCAACATATTTGAACAGGTGATAACTTTTTGAGTTGAGGACAAAACTTTTAAGAACAGCAGCAGGTAACTTTTTAATATGTAATAAAACCGGATTTGGGTAAAAAAAGTGCGTAACAAATTGAATCTAGTGAGGAAAAAAAATGCCAAGTGAAGGCTTGAACTGTGTTATGCACACTGATCCAATCTAGACATGGTTCACACAGGAATTAATGTATAAGACTCTACGTTCCTTTCTACAGTGTTTCACTCATTCCATAGGATGTGTTTTGTACACAGGTAACTTAGGTGTGTACAGAGTTCTTCTAAAGAAAAAGTTCCTATTTCAACTACAGAAATTAAGCAGCGCTCTTAAACAGCAAGGCCTTTTTTAATTGGTGCTACTGCTTCAGTCTGTCTAGGCACATATGATATGTAATAGCTGTGTTTTGATTTAAATGTGAAGAACTCTTTCACAATAATACTGAGTAAACACATTTATGGAAAATACAGCAAAAGCTGCAGGAGAATGTACTGTTAAGGATGGCCACCACTAGTCACTAAGGGTTTGTGGGTGTTTTCACTCACTGCAGTCTCCTTTACTTAGTTCCCATGAAGGTGCATCAGAAGTTGAACTTCTTTCTTCACTTCTTGGAAAAGTCATATCAGATAATTTCAACTCATGTTCTGAAAACCCCAGTAATGCAAGCCAGGTTTCTGCTGGATAAAAAACATGGTAATATAACATCTACTGCATTCATTATTTTGTATTTTGTTGTACTAAATGGATGTAATGTTTAGCAACAGTTGTTTGTATAGAGGGATTTTTAAAGCTTATCTTCAAAAGCAAGCCACAGTGAGTTATGAGCTGGAAATTTTCAGTCCATTACTTTTTTTTATTTTATTTTCAATAATACAGGACCTGAAAACTTGGTAATTATGTAAGTTTTACTCCATTTGAGTGTGCACACAGTTAGTAAAGGACTGAACTTTGAAAAAATAATGTCTTTTCAAATCTTAAGACAAAGGTGGCTGCAGATTTATCCACTGTTTATTTGTTCTATATTTTCTTATAGATGAAATCAAAAGATGAAGTAGAATTCTAAGAGGATTGTTACAGTCTCTTCTAAATAGATAGTGTTCCTGTTATTAATCTCCTGTTAAGAAAAGCACACTTGATACAAGGGTATGCACAATGTGACAGAGTTCAGGAGCATGAGTACGCAAATCAAAACAATATGAAACACCACTGGCCAGAAGTATTGATGTTTTTTTTTAGTTTAGAAATAAGTGTGCTAGATTCACAGATTTTTTCCCACTGGAGTGTGAGTGGAAGGAAAACGGAAAAACTATTTTTGTAAATAAAAAAGTCAAATTTCAAATATTCTGAATTTAGCATGACAAGAATACAGATACTCTGCTGCTGACCAGTGAATGAGAATGTCACTGTGTTTTCACTGCAAATGAAGATGCTCACTGCTTAATTTGAATCTTGTTCTACGTCAGTTTTTTTGTCCTTATTCATAGGACACACACTAAATTTGCTGTATACTGAAATCTTATTGCTGACTTGAATTACATTGTTTTTGCCTGTGCATGAGTGGTATTTTCTACACTTGAATGAAATGTTATTGTCACTATTTATTTAACTTCAAATAAAGTATGTTCTTGTAACTTAATGGTTGGCTTGCAGCAGTGATTAAAAGCAAACAAAAACTGGAATATTGATGCACCTTTTCAATGAGTTCTTCTAAAGAAAAAGTTCCTATTTCAACTACAGAAATTAAGCAAACATGCTAAGCCTTCATATTAAGTTTTCCTTAAATAAACACACCCTTCTCGTGTACCCAAGTTGAATACAGCAATGTATCTAAATTTATAAAGCAGGGAAATCAGGCATTTGAAAAGTCAAAAAATCTCTGCCTTAAGGATAGCAGGCATGATGTTGCTTTCAGCACTGCTTGCTCAGGAGTGTTGAGTAAATACTCAAACACTGGCTTTGAAAGTTGAAATCTAGAGAACATTTTAGGTTAGATGCACGCGTCTTGTGTTAGGATCCAAATGCTGCCTCGTTTTTCTAGCATTTACTTTAACAAAAGATAGACACATTTGAAGGAGTATAAAATTTAGTCCTGTGGTATTGATAGCAACAATGATCAGCAGTTGTATCAAACTATCTGATGTCTGCTAAATGCAGCAATATGTAATTTTGTTCCAGGACTCCTAGGCCATAAAATGTAAGAAAATGCTAGTTTTGTGATTTGCTAACAAAATGAATGCAGAATCAC